AAGCAAATTTATAGAAATTATATTACATGGCTCACACAGTCACTGTCGTAGACTGGGTTGACATAGTCTACAAAAGATACATTTTTCTTGATTTCACTGTCGCAAACTGGTCAATCACGTAATCAAAATCTGTTTTTTCCATGTTTCTCTTTCAACGCTAAGAAGAGCAAGATCGCTGAGACGATCTTGTCCCATTGAAGTTTTAGGTTGAGGTGTAGATTTGTGCAGTAGTTTCAGGCTGCCGCGCCCGCCACAATAAGTTATAATGTCACGTTGTAAGCCTCATTTTGGCGCCCCTTTTCCTTGGCGCCCGGGGACATATGTACCCCCCTGCCCCCCCCCCCCCCCTAGCTACGCCTCTGTTGCAAGTCACGTGCTTAAACCGAAAAATGTGCTCCGGCTAATCCCAAATACACGTGATTGCCTCTACAGTACAGTAGTTGCATATCCTTACAACAGTGGGCGGAGTTTGATTGGTTTTGATTGGCGTGGCTCTATCCAGTTCGTAGCGAAGTCTTCTGCATGGGAGCAGGAAAGTGTTATCACTGAGCACGCGCATCGATGGGTCAATCGTTAGTATTTGTTCTAAATAGAAAGTGTTAATTTACCAAAATGCGACTTAAACAATTTATACCTATATTAGTGTTTTTTTTAGCAGAGAGATCTGCGGAAATTATCCGCGGCCGTCCTCCTCGTCATTCGCGTGGATAATTGAGAGTCTACTGTATTTATTTTTTATTTTTACCAGGTAAGGCCTACTGGGCTATATAGCGTTTTTGAAGCGACCTGGCCACAAATGATCGCTCAACGAAGTGGCTTTTCACGTGGAACGTTATAGCAGCCAAATACTCTAAACGCATATTTCTAAATGTGGAGGGGAAAACCGGAGGACCCAGAGAAAAATCCACATGACCACGGGGAGAGAGACACGCAAACTCCAAATATACAGCAGGCGTCAGGGTGGGAATCCGACCCACGACCTCCTTCATACCAGGCGAGGGAGTTAACATCTCGCCACCGCGGCAACCCAGAGTTAACATCTCGCCAAAGGGGACAAGGGGACATAAAAAAAACCCCACCAACACACCACCTCCATGGAAACACTGCGCTCTAATGACGATCTCTCGCGGCCACAACTGGGCCATTGTAAAGTGTCCGGGTGAAGCTTCACACAATCAGCTAATTTAGACGTGACTGTCCAATGCGAGGAAACTACCCACGACCACGGCGCAGAAAGAAATGTTACGCGTGTCCTCGCGCACGACAAAACAATTACCGTGAGTGTGAAAGCGTGCCCCAGATGGCGGTCTCGGGAACATGTTCTCAGCAGATAACAACGAAGAGTCAAAGGATAAATGGCACCATATACCCACGCAGAAACTCGTATGCCCAGCCATGCACACTGGTGCTGCCGAGATGATATTTATCAAAACTGATACAATCTTTGTGTCTGTGTCTGGACAAATGTCCTTGCACGTTTCCTGCCAACCACTTCAACCTGTAAAAAGTAATTCTAGATTGGAAGCTTTCGTGACTGCAATGATTCAAACTGTTAGTTTTTTCGGTAAAGTCAAGTAGGTAAAAAATGAAATGAAAATCAATAAAAGTAATAATAGAAATGAAATAATAAAAATCACGACGTTTCGGAGGCAACACAAGTCTCCGTCATCAGACGGTCCCACCTGATGACGGAGACTTGTGTTGCCTCCAAAACGTCGTGATTTTTATTATTTTCTTTCTATTATTACTTTTATACATTTTTATTTCATTTTTTACCTACGTGACTTTACTGTAAAAAGTAACCAGCGTCACATTTTATTGATCTGAACAGAATCAGAATCTTTATTTAGCCTGGAGGAATCCGATGAGATAGGAAGCTCTTATTTTACAGGTGTCCAGTAGGGACGGGTCAGCGTTGGCGTTACGGCCATTGCAATTGTGAAAATACAATAAGACCGTTTTTGGCAATGATTTGAAATCTATATCAGAATAGCGGTCGCTTTAATAGGGCGTCTTGGAAAAGAATGCAGATCGTTAGGGTGCCACAAATTTAGCAATTCTTGCAAAAAAATCCCACCCCCCACAGAACTTCCCTTAACAGGCTGTTTGTATTATTTCGCTTAGGGATGACTGAAAAGGCTTCGGCAAATGAAAGTGGTCGCGCATTTCCAGTTTCATTTCTTGCAGAACCATTTAGATAATTATTAGAAGGATGAAAGAGACTGGATTTAACATTTGAAGGCTATACGGTGCTACCCTCTGGCCGCTTTGGGTGGGTTGTTCTTCCTGTAACAGTGGCAGGCTATACACACAGCAGTTTCACGGTGTGCGGCTCTGTATCCTCCATCTTCCTGCCGATATTAGGAAGTCACTGCAGCAATGCACTTTTAAATCTCGACTGAAAGCTCATTTCTTGAGAACTGCTTTTTTGTGTTTAGTTTGTCCTTCCTCCACACCTCCGATGAGCACGGTTGGCTACGTACGGTGCAAAAGAACTGGCTCGGTAGTTCAGTGGGCTTATAACAGCTTAAATATACGCTCCAAGCTTGGTGGCGTTTCATTCTTCACCTGAGGACGGCTGCTTGCGTTGTGGCCGAAACGTCGTTAGAATTATTTTATTATGTTTTTTTTATTATTTCACTTCTACATGACTTTACCGAAAGAACCAAGAAGATGAATCGCTGCAATCACGAAAACTTTAAATCGAAATTTAACTTCAACATACGTTACAACACTACTGCATACGTTTTCACGGTTGTGCTGTGTGGCCCTTGCGTGTGTTCTCAGGTTCAACGGCTTGCTGCTCGCCACAATGTCCGACGTTTTAGCTTCGGTTCCTAAAGATCTCAGCACATGGAGTGAAATGTCAGACATCGTGCCTGACACAAACGCTGTACTGTACAATCCCAAAAACACATCCGACAGCGATGTTCGCTGTAATCCCAATTGGCTCTCATTTCGATCAAGCACGTGATCCCAGTCGATCAAAGCCAATCAATCAACAGCTAAATGCTCGAGTTAATGGAATGAGGTTCTCTCCACTATTGCCCAAAAGCAGTTATTTTGTTGATTGTGTTTGCGCAGTGAACTTTCCTTCCTAATTAATGGGCTTTCCACTGCTATGCACCTTTACATCTAGATTGAAAACTCATTTATTTAGAACTGCTTTTTGTGTTTAGTTTGTGGTCCTTCGTCCGCACCTCCAATTAGCACGGTTGACTACGTACGTTCAACATACACCACACACACAATGGATGCCAGCAAAGGGAGGGAACATGCCCATGAAGATGTCCACTGTGGAGACGGAGCAATGAAATCAGTTCGCAAGAAATGGAAACGGCTCGGGATGTCCTTCATACAGCCATGAATAAATCAGGACTGAGGATAATGATGATGGATTTTGGCACTACAGACCCTTGCTATTTGTTCAGGCTCAAGACCTTCTGCTCTATCTACGATTTGTTAAATTTTAAAAATTACATGTATTTGGCTTGACATGTCATACATTCATCTGCCGTCTTTCAGCCCCTCTCTACCACTTGAGAATATTTTACAAAAAAAAAGAGACATTCTGGGCTCCCTTGATGTGCACATCTATGCTACGCACGTGGCATCTTGAGAAAGTTGCATTCAAATGCCGAGTACATACCAATTACACCACGTCGTTACATCAAATCAATGATAATAGGAGTATCGCGACCTCACGAGCTAAATTGGCCATGTCACGAGGCTGTTTTATGGTCGTATTGACCGTACGCAAACATTTACAGCACAAGACGCTCAAACTCCACTGAGGAATCTCTCAGGACGCTCTACACAACACGTTGGACGAGCATGGTCCTGTTGTAGTGAGATTTACAGTTTCCTAGCAGTGGCTCGGTAGTTCAGTGGGCTTATAATGGCGACGCCACAGACCCCGGTCGATTTGCATCAGGATGCAATCCCAACTGCGATGAAAGCAGGTTATTCTCAAGTGTAACAAGTCCGATTATTTTAGGCCATTCGTCAATACATTAAGAACCTAATTGTGACACCGAGTTAATCAGCTTAATTGGAAAACTCTGCTTCAACAACTTAAATGTACAAAGTAGAACAAAATAGGTATGTTGGGTGTTGTTGGCATATTGGAATTACACAAATAAAATAACTCATTATGTTATCATAGACTAAACACTCGGGGTGATACATTTAGACACACAAAATATTTCGAATGACCCCTTTACTCAAAAAGTGATTTAACAATTGTGAAAACCATGGCTGCATATGTTACCAAGGAGGCTGTTAATTTTTTTAAAAAGTGCTTTGGAATTGGTGGGTGACAATGCAGAGCTTTTGAAGTAAAATGTTGTTTTGTCTAGAATTTCTACCAACTAATTTAGTGCGGTAACTATACACGAATGGCCCGAAATAGTCGTCTGTTTCCAAGTGTTCCTATTCCAGTCACTGCAAGAAAAAAACACCCAAAATGTTGAACTTCTGTACATTTTTACTCCTGCAAGGTAGTGTTCATGTTTGCACGTGGCAATTTTCTGTCATGTTTTTTTTGATACCACTGCAATTTACGTTCCATGATTGCTTCAATCACCCAAGTAATTCTGTGGTCTTATCTTTGAGGGTTGTTCCCTCATCTGATGTTGTTTTATGCTCTGCCATACAGCTCAACAAAGGTAAAAAAAACATTGTGATCTACCCCTCTCGCCTAGCTATTGGGGTTACTTTAGATGTGCTACCATGCCCTGGTTTGCTGCAACTGCGGCTACGAATACCAAACCATGGACCACGTAACTTCACACTGCCCCATATGGTGCGTGGGTGAGTAGGTGATGAAGTGGGTGGCTGAGTGGGTGGGTGGTTGTATCTGCATTTCATCAACTGAAGGACAAAGCAATTGAATGGCTAAATTCTTTAAAACTGAATCTACAGTTTATTTTCATTGGCCACACGAAATCATGATTTTGCCGTTTCCTCACAAAAAAATAGGTCAGCCGTTGCTAAGAAGAAATCGTTCAACGTTTTTATTTTCGCACTCACATTTTTTCAAAACTACTCTCAAGGAAAACAATAATTTAGGGCCGCGCGGAACAACATTTTCAAGCAAGATAAGGCACTCGTTTTAGCAGCGATGTTAGCAAACACTGTCGTGATGCGGGGGTGGGCACGCAGGCATTGATTACGACGCCGAGCGCGCGGTGGATTTTGGACGTCGCCGATGGCCACGCGCGACGTTGCTGTGGGTTCGAGATAGACGTGTCCATCAAGTCGTCAAAACTAAATCTCACGCTCACGATACGTGCATCGAATTGCGTGTCTAGGAAAATGGCTCTTTCACGGAAAATGCAAATTGTATGAAATTCATATGGTAATGTATTCGAGGCTAGCAGAACGAAGATTGCAGAGCAAACACAACGCTCTGCTGCCTGAAGGTGTTGCTGGAATTACATTACTGTTCTTTGAGCCGTGACTCCTTCAACAGGAAGAATAAATAAAAGGTATAGGTGTGGATCTGACCATGCTTGCACACTTGCAGGTAGAAGGGCCTCTACTAGACGCTATTTTGTCCTAATCGAGTCTTTCTAGACATCTAGGAAGAGGTGGGAACACCCCACACATTACACCACACAAATAATCATACAATACAAATGAGACGGTAAAAGTGACATACATTTCTTCTTGAGTTCAACTGTTACCCCCCAAATCAAGACAATTTATCAAATCACTGGTAGGGAGAGAGGGGGGTGGCACGGCTGAAAGGTTACATGCCATATTTGCCAAGACTTAAATAGTGAGAAAGGCTCGGTGCACGAACCCATCGAGAATAATGTCCAATGTTTTCAAATGTCTCCTGTGGAGAAGACTTATTTGGTGTAAACGCAGGGAGCGCAGAACGATGGACAGCAAAAAAAAGCTTCGGGAAAGGCTGAGCTGGATACAGCTGTGTTTTAAAATCCCGGGAGTCGAGATATGGAAGGCAGTAGATATGAAAGATTTCAGTCGTTTGTGCTGTTATGGCTCAGAGCTAAAGGGCACGGGTAGAACGATTGGTCCATCATGCTGCTGTGATGCCACGATAGTTGCACTGATGTCCCGAGGTGGGCAAGGACACGTTCACCGTCACGCACCAGACCTGCTCGCCTCGAAAAATTATTCCAAGTGAGACACGAGTTGTGAAATAGCACAATAGAGGAACATGTTCAATTAAAGACTTATACATTATAATAATATTAATATTAATGAAGGTAGAAGTAAAGGTTTAAGTAGGGATTTATTGTAATACCTGAATGAATGTCTGCGGGAATTCCAGACCAGATGCATCTCTCATTCTGTAAATGTGTGAATTTCCTGATCCTCAAATCCAAGCTCATCGAGAATGCTGCGGAAGAAACACATACAAGCATACACACGCAAACACACAGACCTCACATTAAACTCAGGATTGACAGTAAAATACAGACATCCAGAATACAAAGTTAAAGGTGCTATCTGAAATCACTTAGCTATGCCACGCCTTGCAGGAGGACATCCTCTTGAGGGTATTTTGGTCTACTCTTCCACACTGGTCAGATGTCCTGAAAGAGGTGGGAATACCCACACTCTACCCCACCACATGTAACCTGTTGATCCAACTGGTGAACTCACGACGTTTCGGGCGCAACACAAGCGTCCGATATCAGGTGGGAAAGCAAGGCCTGCTACTGAGGCAGACTGTTTTACAAGGTTTGAAATGGGTGTAGCCCAAGGGTCATAAAGAAGTGGCCGGGGCTAGTGATGTTAACGTGAGAAATTAGCATGTAACTGTAAGATAGGAAAGCGGCCTCCTCGACCATTTCAAACCTTTTAAAACAGTCTGCCTCAGCAGCAGACCATGCTTTCACACCTGATGACGGACGCTTGTGTTGTGATTTATTTTCTTTATTTCTACCTACGTGACTTTACCGAAAGAACCAAAGAGTATGGATTCCTGCAGTCACGAAAGCTTCAAATCAAGATTGGTGCACTCATTTATACCGCTTTATACGTATAATACATAATTAAGCATTGCATTAAAGCTGAAAGTGTAGACCGAATTTAGATTTCTACAAAACTTTTTTTTATTCACTCCTCTTTGATTTCAGTACTGTCACAAGCAATGAAAACAATAAAATCGACATCTCCTTTGAAGCCGACTTTCAATTCCCTTTCATGACAGAACAAAAGTGTTCCTGAAAGTGTGAAGCTGTTATCCCTTCAAGGGATTCTCACTGTCACAATGCGGCCACAGTGAGAGATGCCTGTGTGAGTGGGTAGGCAGCAGAGGAAATTGCAACTCTCCACAGTGCAGGCTCAGCACCGCAAGCCAGCAGCCCACTCCCTGAGCCGCTCACTTCTGGCTGTGTGAAGATGAGGTGTGAGTGCACTTGATATACACGGACACATTATTAAAAGAGACGTGTCGATGTTGCTTCTGGAGATAGGTCAGCTCACGTCCGCATTATATTATTCAACTCATTAAAATAGTTTGGTTCGTGAATGAAAGCCGTGTGACAAGATGACACAGCGCGTTAAGCGACACATCAAACCATTCCGTAAAAGCGCCCATTTAACGAGCAATAATAGAAAGAAATATACACACACAAAACAAATAATAATGATTCAGCGGCTCATTCTAAGCAAATTCTCTTGCTCCAGCCGTGGCTGTCAATATCGCCGGAAGACCCAGCGCCAATCCTGACTGCGGAAAGTAAAGATTCCCTGTATAGCCTTAAACAGACTGTGGACAAGTGCTGTTAGCCAGCACCTACGAAAGCCGGCAGGGCACACGAGGGGGTGGATGGCCAAAACCACGCTTGGCGACCTTTGCCTCCCCAGTAATGATGTTACACACCGCGCCAGATATTAATTTATGGCTGCATCGACCTAGGGGAGGCTCAGGACCAGTTAAAGTATTCGCTACTAAGTAGGAATCGAACTTGGGTCATCGGGTTCATAGCGCAGTATGGTAATGACTACTCCATCGCAGGCACAAAGACCCCCCTGTATAGCCTTAGCAGACTGTTGGGGCAAGTGCTATTTGCGAACACGTATAAAGGCCGGAACGGTAAACAACAGGGTGGATGGCCAGCACCACGCCTGGCCGCCTTTATCTCCCTAGTGCTACACATGGGACCAGGTACTCATTTGAGGCTGAGTCTACCTACGGGAGACCTAGGACCGATTCAGAATATTGTCACTGGTGTTGGCCGTGAGTGGGAATTGAACTCGGGTCACCGGGTTCGTAGTACAATGCGTTAACCTTCTTGGTTCTTTCGGTAAAGTCACGTAGAAGGGAAGTAATAAAAGAATAAAAATAAAACATAATAAAATAATTCTCACGACGTTTCGGCCACAAAGCAAGCAGCCGTCCTCAGGTGAAGAACAGGTCTGTCGGGGAGACAGCCTGAGGACAGCTGCTTGCGTTGTGGCCGAAACGTCGTGAGAATTATTTAATTATTTATTATTTTTATTATTTTATTACTTCCCTTCTACGTGACTTTACCGAAAGAACCAAGAAGATGAATCCCTGCAGTCACGAAAGCTTTAAATCGAAATTTAATGCGTTAACCGTTGCACTACCGCCGCCCACGCACACACACACAATCTGTGCGACGCCGCCTGCTCAGTCACCTGACGGCCAGCTCGGTGAAGGGGGCCGGCCCGCACACGCACGCTAGCCGCCTCTTCCGCTCGCCAACGCCACTCGCCACCGGTGAGAGCAGCTCTGACAGCAGCGTTCTGCTGATCCTGCCAATGCGGCCGTGCCATCCGTCGCTCGCCTCCGAGAGCACGTAGTGCACTTCGAACCTGGGAGGGGAGGCAGTGCAAGGGATTAGTTGGTGGTGGCTGGAAATCAAAAATGGTGGCTGTGGCTGGGTGGATGCTGCTGCAGCGGGCTCAGCCGTAAATCAGTAGCCCCGATATTAAAAAGAAATACAATGTAAATAAATGAACAGCTATTTGGTTAATTGGCGCATCATTCAATTGTCTTACAGGTCAGACAAATGTCAAGGTATTTTGTTGTTTCTAATTGAGCTTAAGTGGTTTATATGTTCATTTAACCATGACCTTAATTAAATTACAATTGCGGTCCGCTCTCTGGCTCTGAGTGGCAAAACAAGCCAAGACGTGAATTGTAAATTCGTCAAAGTAAAGTACCATGAAACCATCAAGGCAGTGAACCTGTTTTAAGTGGAATGTATCATCCGTGACTGCACAAAACACTACTAAATATAAATGTTCATCTGTCGAATCACCTGGCCTCGCCTAGGTCTGACTGAACCCCTTTGCAACATGCTAAACATGTGTAACGACTCCAGGAGACACTGCTCTTTTGACGATTCTTTTATTGAAGACACGTTCACTTAACAGGTGAAGACCCTGACTTACACAGCAGCCCCGAGCCTCTCCTCTCGACCCCTTTAATCTCCAGCGTGGCCATGCCCCATACTCTCAAACCCTCTCGATGGCTCCTTGATCTGCATCTGTCCCCTTCCATCACTTGGCAACAGCCCCCATTCTCGATACTTCTCGTAGACCCCCAGATCATTACCCTGTCTGTCCCTTAACCTGTCATTACCCCCTATGGCCCCCACAGTCTCTTCCCATGCTAATTCCCCTGTCATTACCCCCTGTGGACTGCCAGTCCCCTGTACTGTCTTTACACACGTAAATCACACGAGAGGCAAGCGGCAATCCCCAAAGTTGCAGAAATCTAGCATCGCTCAGTTGTTCACTTCACGCATTGAATCACCGCATTTGCACCCTCGAAAACATTATCGTCACACGCAGCAAGCATACTGTCAGAACAACAGCACGGCTTGTTAAATCGTCAGCGTTACGGGCGGTTGCCGTCACGCGAGGTGCAAGACAAGCATCCGCTCGTTGCACGGGGAGGGGAGGAGGGCGAATGAGGACTACCAACCCCTCTCCATCCATCACCTGGTCAAGAACAGCAGGTGTTCGTTATTCAATCAAGGGGACGACGGAGATAGGAGGCGGGTTGCTTAAGCGGGCAGGGGGGGCGGGGGCAGCACCTGGAGTCTCGGTGGCACAGCTCATCAATCTGCTGCTTCCACAGGATGTCCTCCGGTGACTTGTTAAAAAACACCAGCTCGATTTTCCTGCAATGAAGTGAATTCATCAAGCAAACAAATAGATGTATATATGCATACAACACAATACGCAGATGCACGCGAAAAAATCCCTCGCAAAATTGCAGCCATGGACATTGACGCAATCAGCTTCCTGTAAGTCGAGAAATGCAAAACCCAAATGTCAGCACAGTGAGCGTGACATGTCGTGCTATACACGGGTTGAATCCGTTTGAACCAACGCCACATAATAAGTGAACTTTATTCTCTTTTAATTAAAAAATATGCAGGTTTTTTTCAACTTTCGCCAATACTCTATGGGCACCGACTGAATACTGATTCGCCCTTCCTTCATCAAGCTGCATCATGTTTGTCTGCCTGCCTTCACCGACCGGTGCAACACAAGTGGAATTGTTTACTCGGTCCCCAGACAGGGGTCGCTGTCAATTGAGTCACAGCCCAGAGATTGCGGCCAAATATATCAGAAAGAATGCATCGGTACCGTTAGCCCAGTGCATTTGCTCCAAAGCCATCTGGCCCAGGCACATTACCTATCATATTGAGACAATGCCTCTTGTTGTATTATCCACTTCATTCCCACATAAGTGACGTGGCTCTAGTCCCTCACCTTTTACAGACAATGCTTCTGCACAATTTACCCTTTGCATTGGTACCTAAGATACCCATGTAAGAGGACCCGATACCCAGGAAAACAATGTCTCCGGTAATATCATCACGCATTAGCGTATTAACCCTTGAACTGCTATGAAAGCTCTCGGAGGCAATGCCCCAAGACTGTGTTTCGGTGCATTAAGCCTCAGGCCACCTGTGGACAGGCAGAGTCAATATATCCAATAGCTCTTGGTTGGCTTGATGCACTCTGTTCCCAAATTCGCATCTCTGTAATGACCCATTTAAAGAGAGAAGAAAACTCCAAGCGAGAAAAGACTATATCGAGCAAAATAATACTTTGCAATTTACTTCCCCTCTTTGCTATAAGTGCGCCCAACAATTTTCTGAAGTAGAACCATTTATATGGAGCATACAATTGAATAAAGGAGTGCTCTCTGTACAAAACAGTACTGATATACATGAATGTGCGGTGATGCAAAGGGTAAAATCTAGGTCGATGATTATCGCCCCTCCAGCAGCAGGATGGACAGGACATTCTTTTTTTTTTTAAACTGCACAGCTGCGTTTAATAACGGCCTCTAATGCATCCCTTTGGCGGCGTTGAACAAGCAGATGCAGTGGTAGCTTGGCGTTGAAGCTGAGTGGTAATTGAGAGCCTGTGACGCCCGATTAAGTGTTCATTTTTCTTGTCGCTGATGTGATTTTTAGTGCTAATTTTCCACTGTGTAGCAGCAACAGTCACTTCCTGTTAGGGATATAGAATAAAATAAATACATTCACAGCCCTTCGACAATGAAGGCCTCGCCACACCATGTCGGTCGTGGGTGTTGTTTGACCATACTTCACCATGCTGGTCAGTTGGTGAAGCAGGGAGCCAGGACTGTGGCATGGAATTAAACTCGGGATGCCCGGGTCCATCATACATTGCAATGACCAATGCCATATGTCCCGTCAACACACATCCTGACTCATGAAGTCAGGAAACCCCCTACAAGCCACACTCGGTTGATGATGCTGATTACATTACCAAGTCCCATTCATCACCTCCTGTCCATTGGCACACGTGTGGGAACAGAGGTTAGACATTTTCCCCCCCAACTTCATGAATCTAAATTTTAATTGGGAGAGTAATCAATGAGTTGGATAGTTTCCCAGTTCCAGACTTAATATTTATGCATTCCCAGCACACAAACAAGATAAGGGACCTTACTCTGAGGCTTAGATAACATCACAATGTAAATATTACCAGAACATGTATTACCACTGAGGCTTTTTTGTGCCATGGGCACTCACCCGGGCACTTGTACGTACATGGTAATCATCTACCTTGTACATATAGCATGTGGTGGAAGGAGTTGTGTTCATTTAAGCAATAGTCCACATTTCGGATAACTCAATAAAACAATCGAAGGTGGTGAGATATTTAAACATCTCTCAGCTCGAAGCAGCCGGATAACTCGGTGGTCAGAGCGCGTGGCAGGCACCACTAAGATTCTGGGTTCGTATCAAGGCAGTCACCTACGATTAAACTGGGTTCTCAGGTGCAGTACATTGATAGTCCCAGCTCAATAATTGTCAGTGATTGCACACAAAAAATACAACAATATTTAATTTATTTTGGCACTTAATTTCTCCAAAGTTTAGTCCGTGAATGAAACATATCGATTTGACTGTCATACAACGTACATTTCTTTGTCGCAGTGTGCATAGGAAAATTGTGCTTAGGAAAGTGTATTGGAGGTCATCTATGAACATATATCATCAGTAATTCTGCGATATCTGCTTCCACGGACCATTTTACCACGTGGAATATTGCACACCCTTGCGAAAGTTCCAAATGGATTCTTCGTGTGAGCCCATTCGGGAACATTTCTGATAAAAGTGTTAGGGGAAAAAAGCTATTTTTTAAAAAAACTTCACTTTTTGCCATTCGTGCTTTGAATCACAAGATGCTCACAAGGGCACCATTGCCAAAACTTGCAATGGACATGTCAGTGGGCCCCAGGCAGTCAATTTTGAATGTGGTCAAATGCTTCAATTTGATAACAAATAGGCAATCCTTTAAGTCCCTGGAAAGCACCCGACTCACAATAAAGCCGGCCAAGATTGATTTCCAAATGGAAATGCTGAAGAGGGTTATTTAAACACGATGAGGCACAGCAGGGCTTGCCCTTGACCACTGTGCCGGCCATGCTAAGCATCCCAGATTTTAAATAAAATTTGCATAATTGTAAGATTCTAAGGCACCAAAACGCTCGTGAACGAATCTTGTGTCACGTTGCATTTTTAGGCAGCTTGCCAAAATTACACCTCTTTATAACGTGCACATATATATGTTTTATATATAATGTTCACAAATGTGATTCATTGTCAGCTTACATGTCAGTCCTAAAATATTTCCAAAAGCATCATCAGTTGTCCGGCTACTCCACGCTTAAAATAACCTTTCCAATTTGTAGATACCACGTTTACATTTAGTTTTTACTCTTAACGATGTGTGGCTGATTTGGCAATAGCCAAAAACGAACACTCATTTCCCCCACAATACAGAACACAATTGCATAACCAAAAATAAAATACAATTGTATTTGCGGCCGATAACAATCCACTTACTACATTTTCAGAGCTGGCTCTTTAGTAATTCCTGATTTCAATACTGATTTTCTTGGGCATAAAGCGATGTGGTCGAGAAGGCTTCACACTGACTCCTCATACATGCGAATACGGCAAATCCGTGGCTCACACCATGAAAGCTCAGGAATAAACCTGCAGATTAAGGGTATCATTCCCATCTTGACGGTTGCTCGGTTTTATTGGAATCTTCGTAAAAATGAGGCGGTAGCTCCCTTGGTGGCAGTGGGGACACTGTCGCATGTTTACGAAAAAAATCTGATGGGAATGATCATTCGTCAGCATGGAAATGATACCTTAGCCTGGCAGTGCCGAATAAATCCAGTTTGCAGGCACGGATGTGCTTCCTGCTTATTGACCAAACTATAATTTCCATCCGTCTTGAGTGTTAAAACCTCAAGTATATCGGTGCTTTACACCAATACTGGATTTACGGTTGTATTATGCTCTCTGGAGGTTTTGGTCACCAATGCCTACAAACAAATGTAGCTTTTCTTTTCCTGCCAGAAACTAAATTTAGTCTGGAACAGCTCAGAGGGCTGTAAAGAAATCAAACAGGTGACATATATGCAGGCATAGCATGGCATAGTGGTGTCCAGTTTTGTGTGAAAGACCTTACCGAAGTGACCGCGAATACACCTGTCGTATATTATCTGTAAGGGCCCGCGCTTCTTAAAATAACACGAGGGCTGCTCATCATGTCACACTGCTCCTAAGAGCCATTTGACTGCGACAACATAAATTATTTTTTATTTAAAGCTTTCGTGACTGCAGGGATGCATATTCTTGGTTCTTTCGGTAAAGTCACGTAGAAGGGAAATAATAAAATAACAAAAATAAAAAATTCTCACGTTTCGACTGCAATACAAGCAATCATCATTTGGTGTGAAATCCACAGCAAGAAAATTTGAAAAAAGTGACTTTCCGACCGCATTCCATTCTTTTCTTCTCCCCCCTCCTCTTTTCCGAACATAGATGGACTCGTCCATCTGACCAACTGCCAAATCGCTGTCCGTGGTGCTGACGTTAAGAAAAAAACGCCACTTTTTTCAAAATTTCTTGCTGTGGATTTCACACCTGATGACGATTGCTTGTGTTGCAGTCGAAATATTTTTATGTCTGTCTTATCGTCTGTCTTATCGACAGACCTGTTCTTCACCTGAGGACGGCTGCCTGCGTTGTGGCCGAAACGTCGTGAGAATAATTTTATTATGTTTTATTTTTATTATTTTATTATTCCATTCTACGTGACTTTACCGAAAGAACCAAGAAAATGCTTTAGATGTAAAATAGTGACATCTCTGACACTCTAAGACACTAATAAGACACTTTAGAGTATTTCTTTTTATCCTGATAAAACTACAGACTTGTGTTTGTATTGCATGTCAATAATGATATCACCATTCTTGCCCATGATTCAGCATGGGGCAGCTCAAAAGAGCTGAGATTGAGGATTGTTTTTAAAGGCAGATAGCAGAAGGACAACAATGATGTTGTACACCGGACTCGTCGTTGTTTGAACTCATCAGTACAGTGTAGCCGTTATTGTCCACCATATGTGCTTGAAATTGTAACACGTCAGTAAAATTACATGCAATATGCTTTCCAACTTGAGTTGGTTCTTAGATGTAATTAGCAGTTATGGAGCCGATAGGTAGCTGTGAGGGCAACACAGGTTTGTACATTTGCAAGTACAGTACTCCTTTCTTGCTCCGATTTGTTTCCAAGGTTTACAAAGTTCATTGATCAAAGTGACCGGTTTTCAATAGGGCAAGTCCCCAACAGTAACACAACTCTACACTAAAGTTTGGTTCATATTGGATTATAATTTCCAGAGTTATCGTCGCCACCCCCCCCCCCCCCCACCCAATTTCTCAAGGGAAAATGGACAGAACTGATGTACAAACGCTTTCAACATTAGTCTCAACTCTCGATTTAAAGCTTTCGTGACTGCAGGGATTCATCTTCTTGGTTCTTTCGGTAAAGTCACGTAGAATGGAAATAATAAAATAATAAAATTTTATTTCGGTAAAGTCATGTAGAATGGAAATAATAAAATAACAAAAAGTTACATTTTTGTTATTTTATTACTTCCATTCTACGTGACTTTACGAAAGAACGGTAAAGTCACGTAGAATGGAAATAATAAAAGAAAAAAAGATTTTTTTATTTTATTTTATTATTTCCATTCTACGTGACTTTACCGAAAGAACCAAGAAGATAGTCTCAACTCATTAAATATATTTACATAAATGACAATATCCACATCATTAATTAAGCGAGCGAGTGAAGGGGGGGGGGGGAGTCCCACCGGATGTGGTCGCTGACGATGGCGTAAGCGAGAAGTCGCACCATGGGTGTCAGCCCCGTGCCGGCCGCGACGAGGCTGAGCTGCGACACGCCAGCCACTTGCTCTCGCCGGAAGGTGCCAGCACCGTCGCACACCAGCACCGCGTCCCCTGTGTGCCGTGACACCACGCGCCACCCAGAGCACCGACAGCGCCAAGTTTTACCGGAGACTCCTCCATGGTCTTGGGTGTTCGGGAATGAATACTTCCCATGGTATTCGTTTGAACGCTAAACTTACTGTAAGAGGTAGAAAAAGTTAAATTTCGATGTAAAGCTTTCGTGACTGCAGGGATTCATCTTCTTGGTTCTTTCGGTAAAGTCACGTAGGAGGGAAATAATAAAAGAAAAATATTATATTAGTGTATTATTATGGTTAATCTTATTATTTTATTATTTCCCTTCTACGTGACTTTACCGAAAGAACCAAGAAGAGGTAGAAAAAGGTTAAGGTGCAGCCCCGCAATTACTTGCACACACCACTGCTGCCAGGAGGGCCCTTCACTGAAGAAAGCTCTAGAGAACTCGTCTACGGGGTATTTTGGCCTACGCTTGGAAGGTGGGCGTACCCACACTTTACCCCGCCACACGCGATCTTCCGGTCAACTAATTGTGGTGTACCCAATTTCAAGAAGCTTGCACCATTGTTTCAACTGGCACGATCGGGAGAAAGAACCGATACGTTGAACTCTGGATTGAACTTATTGTTTCCAGGGATAAATCCAGCCAACGTGCACTGTGGGTAAGAACTCTTGACAAACAATTGGAAAGTTAAAATTTCAGATCCAGGGCACAGATTTGACACCACTCATGATTTGTTTTCGGTCTGTAAAATTAGTAGTATTTTGTGGTCAGTTCACCGCGGTTACTCTACGGAGATATTGGCACGTGCTATGGGAATGTGTAATTTGACCACTGGCTTGGGGTTATCAATAGGGTGCTCATTTTATCAGGAGTGCACTTTGACTACAGCCTATTCAAGCACAGCCGTTGTTATTCCTAAAAAGGTCCGAGCCACTTTTTATCCCATCCTGGCCCTGTCTACTTTAGGCTTAGGTTTAAACGACTGAAATGGAATAGATTTAAAAAAATGAAAATTCGTTTAAATCATTGTGGGTTCATAATATGTTCTTGTGAAATAAGTTTAAAATTGATTTTACTTGACACAACATTTTTAAGTGGCTTATATACATATATATTTAAATGTGATAAATGTGTTGATTTGGTGAACTTATTCCATGAATAACAGTTGATTTGAAATCAAATAAGACCTAGGGAGCGAAAGATATTGTTGGTTTTGTTGACTGGGCTTTGTCAATAAATGTATTTTCTGTAAAACACTGAGTCTCAGCAAATCGATTGCTGAACAAAGCCGGTTGGCCAAAATGTCGAGACGTTTCTTTACTCTCAGTACTGGTGAGAAAAACATTACCCAGGTGTAAGTATTTTAGTTGACCTGTTACACACGTATACACACACAGGTTACATGATATATGAGCCTTCTACTGGAAAACCAGACTGTTAAGTGAGCCTCAATTTTGTTAGAGAATTCGACGAGGTAAAGAAATGCGCACAGCTAAACAAAAGCACATGCAAGCGGATGCTCTAACACCCCCCTTGTTCGTGTACTAATGCTCATGCAACAATCCTGCTGCTATGCAAAATAACGTAGATTTTTCAGAAAAAAAATAATATATGTTTAAGAATAAATATTTTATTGTCAATCATATTTGAAAAAAAGAGACTCGTATGGGTTATACGGATGGTTCTATTCAGCCAGTTGCCCGGCTATTTTATAAGGGAGATCCGTGGTAGATAAGCACAAGGCATTGCAATAATTATCTCATTATCCATGTGACTAAAAAATACTTTCTTTAAAAGTCTAGTCGCCAATTGAATAATACGTTTCCATAAGCTTATTCCGGTAGATTTAGAACATCAGTTAATTTGTTTTAGCTGACCAACCAGATTGTGCTAAGACAGGTAATCAGGAACTTTTTTTCTACATAAAGGATAAAAATTAATTCCAAACAGTGGGCCACGCATCGACACACACCTATGGCATTATCGATGTAATTACGCGAAACAAAAACTTGCCCATCGAATGCATATAAATGAGCCCTTGCAGTGACAGCAGTAACTGTGCACACTACAAATAATAAAACAGAGTTGCTCCGAGGTCGAAAATATATTTCCCTCTAAAATAGCGTGAAACTGGCTAAACGGGATCATCTGTGTAACAAATCAAGTAAACTCAAAGATACTCGTAGTGATTAATAAACATCCATAATACAGGTTTTTTTTTTTGGTTAGATCGAGTAAGGATATAAATGTGTCGCTAAACCCGCCACGGCCAATTAGTAAGGTTTGTCACGTAAACAGAACATGCCAATTCGTTACGAGTACAGCACCCCGGTGTGTTGGAGAGCAAAGCCACAACATTCACAATCTGAGTAAGACATTTCGCCAGTAATTACAAATAGCTTCATCAGGCGACAGCCAGATTTGTGGAGAAATCCTCCTGTTACGTTCCTTATAATTTACACGATCTAACCCAAAAAAAACCTGAATTATGGACGACATTGGTCGCGAAAGCCTACGTGTTAAATTGATAAACATCGTTTGCGGATCGTTTCCAAGCAGATCGGATCAGATTAAGTCGTGGGTCATAGCTTCCCCATCCTTGCCATAAGCTCCTTCCCAAGGCCACGGCCACCTGCCACCCCCAGGCCCTATCGGCCGTTGCTTCTTGGGGTCAAATGTGAGAGGTTGGGGGTGGGGGGGGTTACCTGGGCCAAGGCAGCCGAGCACTGGCGTCAGGGTGCCGTTGGGGTAAACCTTGATCATGAAGTGCAAGACAGCGGAGAGACGCGGCACCACCTCCCAGGGCGCTGTCAGCGAGGGCAGCACGGGAGTGTAAGCACGCGTTATATCGACTCCTGTGAACACGCACACATGCAGGAAACGGACACATTTTCACCAATAAGCCTCAAAGCCTGTTGGTGCAAGTGCTGTTAGCAAGCATCTGCGAAGTTCAGAATGGTACGTGAGAGGATGGTGTAGCTGGCACCATGCCTGGCTACTTCTGTCTCTCCCCAGTACTGAATATATTTACATACTTCAGTAAGTACTTTTTTTAAGCCCAAGGAGACCCCAAGAGAGGTCCAGTAACCACTTGCTACTAGTGTTATCCACGCTTGCGCAATGAACCCGCGTTGCATCAGTTGCTCCACAGGCACACATGCACAACACTAGCTCGTAAATCTCAGAACATCAGGGTGTCAGCTGTTCAGAATTGTGGCTTGCAGAAAGTTTTCTATGCTGCATGCATGGTATCAAGTTCGAGTTTATTTTGTTTAACCAGGTGAGAATTTTGGAGACCTGCATCTCTTCATTTACAAGCGTGATTTGAGGCATTAGCCTTCCCGGAGAGAACGATAATTTCATTGTATAATCCCAATTGAGTAATTTGCCGTGTAATTTTGAATTTGTCAAATTTGGACCACAATGCCGGCACACAATGGCCTACTCGTGACATCAGGGGATGTTTGTTAAAGACCCAACGCAGAAAACCTCTGGGTTTGATCTTCCGCAAAGCTCACGGTCCACCCTAATCCGCATCCACCGCACAAACCATGGCAGATGCGCAATGGAAAAAAAAAAACTCTCTATTGTGCGACTGTGGTCATGCAGAACAGACCGTACAACTTATAATGACGCAATGCCCCGATCCACAAATACGAAGGAGACATCACAGTGATTACACTCCGCTGCTCCTGATGTGGTTATCTGGCTTGACCACTGAATGTTAAAATTGTAGTTGTTGGTTTGCATCAACATCAGCCATACGACAAGAAGGGGATCATTAACGTCCACTGTGAAGTACACGGCGTGCAATATCATTTCGTTTTTTTTAAACAAGCAGTAATAATGAATTGCGGTCGCAATGGATGTAGCAAACAACAGGTTTACAATGCAAACTACACTGTGGAACACATGCCAAAGTGTTTTTTTTGCAATAAAATATAACACAAAATACTGCTGCATTTTCATTCACTATTGCATACTTTACATTGTTTATATTTCAAAACATGAATATATAAATGTTTAAAGGATCTCCGTGATTCTTTGCGTGTCATGAATCTTACATCGAAAAACTTTTCAATCGAAATAATTTGCATTGTTTGCACAGATTTTCTTTGGCCCAAATGTATTCCCTGTCCTGTTGTGCCTGCGCTTTCCCGCATATTTGTTCTGCAACTGCTCAATGTTACAACTGCATAAGTTTTCACGGTTGTGCTGTGTGGCTCTCCCGTGTGTTCTCAGGTCGAACGGCGTGCTGGTCGCCACAATGTCCGACGTTTTGCTTCAGTTCCTGAAGCTCTCGGCATATGGAGCGAAATGTCAGAAATCGTGCCTGACAAAAATGCCGTACTGTACAATCTCAAAACACAGCAATGCTCGATGTCAGCCCAAATGGCTCTCACTTTGATCAAACACCGTGATCCCAGTCAATCAACGCCAATCAATCAACAGCTAAATGCTTGAGTTACCGTGATGAGATTATCTCCACTATTGACCAAACCCAGTTATATTTCGATTTAAAGCTTTCGTGACTGCAGGGATTTATCTTATTGGTTCTTTCGGTAAAGAAAGACCTGTTCTTCACCTGAGGACGGCTGCTTGCGTTGTGGCCGAAACGTCGTGAGAATTATTTAATGTTTTATTTTTATTATTTTATTATTTCCCTTCTACGTGACTTTACCGAAAGAACCAAGAAGATGAAACCCAGTTATGTTGATGATTGTGTTTGCGCAGCGAACTTTCCCTGTTAATTAACAAGCTTTCCCCTGCTTTGCTGACAGCCCACTGCTTGAGTCTGTATGTGCCACACACCACAGGTCTTTCTTTGTTCCTCATCATGACATTTGCAAGTCTGGCCCTGAGCCCACAGGCTCATAGTCAGTGTCTCTATAACCCTGATTGCAGCGGCACATCTAAGCAACAGCAGTGCAGGGCCCTAACGATACGGGTGTTTTTTTTCCCCACTAGATATTTCCTGAGTCGAGCCAGAACGAAATCATGAAACCCTGGCCTCACGAGACATTTTAACCTATTCAGATCCATCCCGAGCGAGTCGACTCATTTTCTGCATGCGATGTGCACAGCATGGCTCGAATTCCTCAGTGGGGGAAAAAAAGCCCAACAACATTGCCGCTGCCTGACCTGTGTCCGGGTGACTCGGTGTGGCTCGGTTGTGCAGTCGAAAAGAGGCGTATGAGGCCCTAAAAAGGCTGGGAGGCCCAGCAACAACAGTCGAAGGCCCCTGAATGCCCCCCGTGGGTTGAGCAGGTCATGCCAGGACACGGCAGGCACTGTCAATGGTGCACGGGTAAGGGGGCCAGTGATTGATTAACTGCTTGCAGATGTCGTTAATGGAAAGGCGGTCCATGTATGAGTGGTGTTCCATGGAACAAGGCGTCCACTGTTTCCAGTGAAAATAGGAGCCCATTAAAAATAAAGTGACGTAATTATGACCCTCAATGGAGCTGGAGACTTGTAAAAATAGTTTTTTTTACTTATGTTTTTCTGCTATCAAATCAAGTCAGAAATATTGCACTGAGATGGTCCTAGAAGACGCTGTTATAGAAATATTTCTCAAGCTGCATCTATAACAAACCTCACAGCACATTTTTATAGGCCCTGAAAATAACGTTTGTCATATGGCAGTAAAACTGCCATGTCCTCAGAGCCTGAATATATTGCACTGCGAAAATAAAAACATGCATCATGACCATCATCAGCCAAAATCAATCCACTGCTGGATGGAGATCCTTCCAAAAGCCCAAACCATCTCTGTATGTGCGTACGTTGAACCTCTTTTGCACCGTACGTAGCCAAACGTGCTCATCAGCGCCGCTAACCCGGAGACGATTACACTGGTCAACAAAAAAAAAAAAAATTTCTGGCCTGGACTTTTGCAGCTGTTTTAGACTAATTTCAGGGTGCCGATTCCAAATCTGATCTCAGATATGCTCTATCACATCTCATTTTATGCTATCGGCATACCCCATTTTCATTGATTTTACCCGAAATTAACTCTGTCACTTATGATTGCAAGTTGTTGCGAGTCAGTGACTGCTTTAGTGTTAACATATGGCGCTGTATATTTAGGATAGTGTGTTTATAATATCATTTTATGTAGATATCCACATGTATTTAATATCTTTCTTCTGCAGTTTTTATTGAAAATGCAATATTTGATATCTCAAAAACCTGATGTGATAGACAAAAACTGATGCCAGATTTGGAATCCGCACCCCAAAATTACCTTAGAAACCGTTGGAATACCTTATGCCAGAAAAAGTGTGTTGACCTAGTGTAAGACGTTGCTGCCTGCTTAGACTCCATTTGGAGGCAAGGACAATTGCACGCCGCTTTGTTTGAATTAACGTGTTGCGGGAACAGCCCTTACGATTTCGATTTCAAGCTTTCGTGACTGCAGGGATTCATATTATTGGTTCTTTCGGTAAAGTCACGTAGAAGGGAAATAATACACTTTTTATTGTTTTATATATTTTTTATTTTATTATTTCCCTTCTACGTGACTTTACCAAAAGAACCAAGAATACGAAGCCCTTACGATGTACCGCACCGTGAACAAACTACGGGAGAGGAATGTCATCCTTAAAAAAAAAAATGTCCCCCTTCGTGTTAGAGCATGGCTCACAGAAGTGAATATCGGAGGTGTTGCTGCGATTAAACAATCCATCTATAGCACTTGCACACGAGCTGATTTCATTGCTCCACCCCTGCCGTGGGCGTTCTCTCGGGTGCGTTACCACCTTTGGCTGCCACTCCATCATTAGTCTCAGCCACTGGCCATCATCCCGTCCAACAACGAGTCCTGCTTAAGTCGCTTACTTGTTTTTGCAGCCCAACGTGATTTCTCTTAACCGAGTGTGTTAGGAGGCTTTATTTTTTTTCTTGGCAAACGGTGACAAGACTGAGACCATCAACTTACTTAAGACTCGGGAATCCAGTTAAATCACCGAGGCTTACGTGGAGTGAAACCCAGGATATCACAGTGGAAGTGATTTGGTGCTTGGGCAGTTTTGGTCCACTCAGCCGCACGGCCACGTCCAATATCCAGATAATAATAATAATTTCTGCGCGATAAAAGATTCATTCGGTGCAAAATTGTGTTTCACACAGAATGTTAAAATACAATCCACAAAAACGCAATCGCTCACGTGAACGTAGGACGGCTGTCAAAGCTGACATGTTGAGAGTGGTAGAAAAAAAAATGTGGAAATTTCCACACGGCATCGCAGCTTAAAGAATAAAACTGTCAGTACCATACACGCCGCTCAATAAAACGCAGCCGAACAACGTGCAGCACCGCATCCTGCTTGGGAGATAAACGTGTCAGTCACGTACGTTTGAGACATGCTAATCAGCGTGCAAGACGATGTGCTTCTCTCACGCAATCGCTCCTACGCGGCGAAACCGTTCAAGAAATATTTCACTGACACTTAAGGTGGGAGAGAGGAGGTGGTCCCTCGGGTCTCAACCAAACACAAGTAATTTGAAATATATTACCACCGAGGAGGCAAACTGAAGCTCAACAAAACAGTCGAAGCAAACCTTCATAAGGAGTAACAGCATCAAGCTGACAAAATATAACAACTCACATGTATTTTTCGATTTAAAGCTTTCGTGACTGCAGGGATTCATCTTCTTGGTTCTTTCGGTAAAGTCACGTAAAAGGGAAGTAATAAAATAATAAAAATAAAACATAATAAAATAAAATAATTTATTATGTAAAGTCACGTAGAAGGGAAGTAATAAAATAATAAAAATAAAACATAATAAAATAAAATAATTTATTATGTTTTATTTTTATTATTTTATTACTTCCCTTCTACGTGACTTTACCGAAAGAACCAAGAAGATAAACTCACATGTAATATAATACAAATAATATTTTTTTTAGCCTATTATCAATTGACTGCTAGATGAAGGCTTTCCCCCAGGGACGTATTGGTCCTTGAGGTTGTTTGACCATACTTCACCACGCTGGTCAGTGGGGAACTAGTGAATGCAGGGCCCAGGATTGGTTTAGACATCACTTGCCATTGATGTTAGCGATGGCTGGCAATCAAACCCAGGTCACTGGGTTCATAGTGCCGCTCACTAACCATTGCTCCAACTCATTAACTTATAACTATGGTGATGACAGCAATTGCCAATCCAGGAAAGCCTCACTGAGTGCCATCTTATAAGCACCTCACAGCCCCGCAGGTTTAATTAATGAGATCACACGGAAATCTCCATGTGGTCCACCAACCCTGGTTCCACAGTGCCGAATCATAGCTACTGTGTCCTGCAATCCCCTTTGTTCAGAGCAGGAAAATAGGGCCCTGTAAGCTTTTAAACAGTGGTTTACTTAAAACAATGACATTTAACAAACATGCAACAGTTGGTTCAACACAGTCTGAGAATAAATTGCACAACAAGTCATCATCATACGAACAGCAAAAGATTTAACACGCAAATTAATTACAAAAAACCTGCAAGTGTTCCAAATGACTGCCCAAACTGTCTGAAGATAACACAAATACACGAAGACCTTTAAATGTCTTTGCGAATTAACGTGAGCTCAAGCGCGGCCGCACCTTGACACCAAGACACGACCGTTATACACCGTACACGCACGGGGGGCTTAATCCCAGCCGATGTGCCAGTCCACATCAGTGACCAGGAAAGCCTCTCGCCAGTTGACCTTTCCGCACCGTGTCTACCATCCATTCCAACCCACCAGCAACACATTCGGTGAGCAATTGAGTCCCGTGCAATGGCAGCGGGTGCAGCAAATATATATTGGTGGGGCACAAAAGCACAGGAGAGGGGGGATGAGGAGGGGAGGGGGGAGGTGTATGCAGTGCTTTATAATACTGAGCAGGTCATTTTCACTGCTCTATCCGAGCTATGAGTGCTTTGATATTTTGCATTGTCTTTGCGCTCGATGCTTTTTGGCGTTCTTTGGTCTCACACTGGTGAGCCAAGTCCATAAATTAAGCTTTGTCTCTGGTGTAGGCCAATCAGTTTCATGGACAATGAATGCATTATCAAAGCTTCTATGTGTGGATGTTTTACCGCAATCGTGTGTGGTCAATGCAGGCTTGATGCCTTGCGATAGATGTCTATTTGGTGTTTGAACATCTTTACACCTCCTGAATCATTTCGATTTAACGCTTTCGTGACTGCCGGGATTCATCTTCTTGGTTCTTTCGGTAAAGTCGGCTGCTTGCGTTGTGGCCGAAACGTCGTGATAATTATTTTACAATGTTTTATTTTTATTATTTTATTATTTCCCTTCTACGTGACTTTACCGAAAGAACCAAGAAGACCTCCTGAATCATTTCCTGAAAAGGGGTAAAGCCCATTTATTTTTCTATCGAGCAGGCAATTATTAAGCATTTCTCCCCCCCCCCCCACCCTTTTTAATTTTTTCCAAAGCGGGACGCCCGGCCCCACCGGGCCTTGAACGATGAGGGTAGAAATGTAGGCGAGTGGCGGTGGACACACCTTGCACGGGTGCTTGCAGGTACACGTGATGGCCGAGCGCGAGGCCCATGTGCGTCCCGGGCGGTAGGCGCACGCACAGCAGGACCGTGTCGTGGGTGACCGGCGAGCGGGCGGTCACAATGCCGCGCCGGAAGAGCAGCTCTGCAGACATCCCCCGTCGCAAAGGGAATGGTAGAAAATATCACGCGTACGTCGCAGATTGCTTTGTTCCGTCATCTTCTTGGTTCTTTCGGTAAAGTCACGTAGAATGGAAATAATAAAAATAAAACATAATAAAATAATTCTCACGACGTTTCGGCGACAACGCAAACAGCCGTCCTCAGGTGAAGACCAGGTCTGTCGGGGAGACAAGCATGGTGCTGTTTCATTCAGATGCTGTCTCCCCGACAGACCTGTTCTTCACCTGAGGACGGCTGCTTGCGTTGTGGCCGAAACGTCGTGAGAATTATTTTATTATGTTTTATTTTAATTATTTTATTATTTCCATTCTACGTGACTTTACCAAAAGAACCAAGAAGATGAATCCCTGCAGTCACGAAAGCTTTAAATCGAAATTGTTCCGTCACGTTCGCATTGGTATTCTCGTTCTGTTCTGTGCAATCTCGTTTTGCTCCGTGAGCCTAAACAGTAACATTTGCATACTCAAAATGTCACTTATTGTAAGGGTGAATGAATAACTAATTCGAAACATTTCATGAGTAACTTAATAGACGTTGCCGTCACTTGTCGATCCAGGTTACACTTGCAAAAGAGGCTTGTTGGCCCAATGAGTTTTCATAATTAGTAAATAGGCTAACAGCGAATCACCCGGAATGTGCCCAATCGCTTCAGTTGAGTCTGGATACTGCTCGATGGGTGACCACCATGCACAAAACAGGTGTTATAGGCTTGCTGCGGGGCTACTTTGTCAGCTGGTGGCAGGGCAGCAAATATCCATACTCCACTGTCGATGCTTCCCGCCTTCGCCGACCTGCAATGGACAGCGTGGAAAATCATGGGCAAATACCTCCCAGATCGCACACGGCATGGGGAGCGGATTCATCCAGCGGTGGATTAACAAAACGGGCGGCACACGTTCAAATCGTACGTCGTAATTTCTTACAATTTTCCGCACTCAACTGCACGCACAGCGATCACGTGCGATGATCGCGGAGTCGTCGCTGCGCCTACTCTTGACCGTCGCTGGTGGGGTGCCGACTCACCACGCGAGCTCGTCTTGTCGAGCAGCCCGGATCCCCCAAGGTGTTGGCCAAGACTCTTCCACGGCATTCTGGGCTGCGCCTTCTTCAGGCAGACCTCTACCTTGCCCGGAGGGGACGTCACCTGCACTACAAATGCACAACCGCACAACCCATAGAGTGGCGCGATCCACGATCGCGCACAGCCCACAAAGACGCACAACCCACGGACAGCCACAACCTACTGATGTGCACAGCCCATGAACATGCACAACCCACGAACAGGCACAACCACACACAGGCATAACCTACGAATGGGCACAAGCCACAAACACGCACAACCCATAAACAAGCACAACCTGTCAATGCCCACAACCCACTAACACACACAACCAATCCAAAGCAACACAACCCACAAACATGGACAAGTGCAAACAGGCATAACCTACAAACGGGTACAACCCACGAACAATAAACTACAGTGATGTCATATAATTACCGTTATGCCAATTACTCCGGGATACATTTGACAAAACATCAATTCACTCGATAACAGCTTTTCATTTAGAACTGTAATATTACCGAGTCTGATGGTTCATAAACATTTTGTCAGGAAGTAAATATGTCCAAAAAGTTAAATGAGCAACGATAATCAAATCGTCTTGGGTCTTTCGGTAAAGTTACGTAGATAGGTTCAAAGAAAATAATCAAAAAAATCACATCATGACGATATTTAGCAAAATGGACGATACGATTATCCTATATCGTACCATACGTTGGTATATCACAACGAGCATAGGACCCGCATCGCAACACGGACACACACAACTCGCATAACCAAGACACAGACCGAAGCCATCACACACAGCCAATACATTAGCACGCCGGTCCGGCAAACAACCCCACGCCATCACATGACAAAGAAGTAATAGCATTCAAGTGCTGTTCCAGGTATTCCCATTGCTCCCTTCTTAAGTAGTCTTGCTGCCACAGCTCCTGCTGCGTATATGCAACGGCACCGCAGGAGCGTGCGCTCGTCGTGTGCTGCACATGCGCGTGCTCATTACGATTCGCCTCATACAAGACACGAACAGTGATTGATACAATCAAACGTCTGAACGACCCATCGTAAATGGGAAATAGTGCGAGCTGCGAAAACCATACGTTTCAAACAAGACCCACAAAGATGTGTCAAAAGCACACAGCATCTTGTGCGTATGCAAAAAAAAAAACATGAGCATTTCCTGAAGTGTATCTGTGGTCTTCTTGTCTTAGCTCATCATTAAAAGAAATGCGAGTCAAAAATGTGTCCAACTGACAGCAGCAAAGATGTAGCACTAGTGGGCAACAATGCACTCTTCAGGCAATGCTGATTATGTTTATCTTTGCATGCGCACAATGGCCGTGTTATTTTTACGCATTATTGTGTATTGCTTGAAACGTGTGATTTTCCAGCCTGCACCGACTTTTCTGTTATGGAGGAATTTTCTCGCCAATTACAGATCCAACAGTACGAATGAGTCACTGTTAATGGTTTGCAATTTCTAACTCCGGCCAAATGCCTTAAAGACAGTGTGTGATTTTTACATCGTTATCATCATTATTATTTATGCTATACTGTCTCATTAAAGCAGAGTTCGGCTAGTCACCATAGCTACAGGTTGGAGGAGGCCACTCTGCTGTGGGCGAGAGTAGCTTCAAATTCACTTACACTGTTATTCCCCTCCTGAATCTAAATATATCGGAACTCACCTCTCCATTAACCAAACAACGGAACTATGAAACCTGGTTTTAACCTTCACGTTTCTGTGTCTTAATGATGACTATAATGATGCACATTCTTTGTCATCTACATTTGTATTAAGCTGGAAGAACCCAATTAACCTACAAGGTTCTTTACACGCGGGTGTCCATTCCAAGCTGGTCGGTAATGGTGAACAATAATATCAAGAGGAAGTTACTGTCTTCTTGGTTCTTTCGGCAAAGTCACGTAGAAGGGAAATAATAAAATAATAAAAATAAACATAATAAAATAATTCTCACGACGTTTCGGCCACAACGCAAGCAGCCGTCCTCAGGTGAAGAACAGGTCTGTCGGAAAGACGGCGTCTGAATGAACACCACCAAGCTTGGCAGCGTATATTTAAGCTGGGTTGGAGGGGGAAGGGCGCCTTGACAAAGCAATTTGCATATCAAGAGGAATTTTGCATATTTATGAAAAATGCAGATATGGGATTAGTCACTACTTGTGGAATGCGTAGGAGGTGGGCGGGGGGTTTGAAAGTCATATTATGCCCGTGCATTATGCAGGATTAGCAGCATCAAAGGGAGGGAGTAGGGTCAGCATTAATAAAGGGAAGGAATTTTAATAGTATGGAGCTGCGGCAACTAAACCACCACGTAAATAAACTAAAATATAAACTACATCAGGAATTCATCTTCTTGGTTCTTTCGGTAAAGTCACGTAGAAGGGAAGAAATAAAATAATAAAAATAAAACATAATAAAATAATTCTCACGTTTCGGCCACAACGCAAGCAGCCGTCCTCAGGTGAAAACCAGGTCTGTCGGGGAGACAGCGTCTGAATGAAACAGCACACGAGCTTGGAGCATATATATAAGCTGGGTTGGAAGGGGGGGAAAGGGCGCTTCGACAAAATAATTTGCATATCAAGAGGAATTTAGCATATTTATGGGAAATGCAGGAATGTGATTAGTACTACATATGCCCGTGCATTACGCATCAGGAAGTTACTGGTTTATCAACCCACTGGAAGATACGAGGCTTCACACCATGCCGTGTCAGTCACGGGGCTTGCTTCATCTGACTGTCACCACACTGGTAAGTGTAGGCTGGCGAGGGGAGAGGAGGGTTCCGGATAAGTTGAGATATCGTTCGCCACTGACGTTAGAGCCACGGCCTGGAATCGAACTCGGGGTCACTGCATTGAAAAATTATAATACTCTGATTGATGCTCCTGCTGTTGTGGAGTGACTCATGCAGCCAGCTATGGCTGCAGGGATTTTGTAGTACATGTTGTTTATGCCATTTATTGTGAAAATTCCGTCAGTTCCTATGATAACTGTTTCATTGCTTTCATGGCTTTATTTTGGTGATTTCGAAAAGTGTATTGGTTTAGCCATGTTTGTTTGTTGTAGTACAGAGTTAGACTGATGGCCTTAATATAAGTTGTCTTGTGGTTGTTGTTGGTTGTTTGACTTGCATCCCACTGGGATTTTTGCACACAGCGTTGGTGTATGGTGATTTTTTTCTGCAATATTTTGCTGTCTTTCCTTGGATTTTCTGTTTGCACTTAGTCACATATTCACTTTAAGATGTTTTTTGTTCATGTTTTTGTTTTTTGTTTGTTGCGGTTGCACCCGATTCAAGAGCCGAATGGCTCACAGGGCTATAGCAAATAAATGAACTTGAATCGCTTCACGCCACAAGGCAGGGAAGCACGAATCGGAAAACTTCCAACAGCCTGCGATGCAAAGGGTGGCACTACTTCATGCTCTAAAATGAACGCTCATCTCAAGTTAAAGTCACGTAGAAGGGAAATAATACAATAATACAAATAAAACATAATAAAATAAAATTATCACGACGTTTCGGCCACAACGCAAGGACGGCTGCTTGCGTTGTGGCCGAAACGTCAGTGAGAATTTTATTTTATTATGTTTTATTGTTTTATTTTATTATTTCCCTTCTACGTGACTTTACCGAAAGAACCAAGAAGATGAATCCCTGCAGTCACGAAAGCTTTAAATCGAAATGTCATCTCAAGTTGATAATTAAATAGCTTCGAGAATTTGTTTGCCAGAGCAGTATTACTGTATACAGAATTAGGTGAGAACTCTAACTCAAAATAACGGCTTGTTTTTTTTCTAAGTGCCTTCATTGGTAACTTGGCTGAGATTGTCAATGCCCAGATTAAAACTCAGGAGCTCAAAAGTGCCAGCCTAAGTGCCCAAACGTGGACTTCTGGTCACCTCTTTTTCCACCGACAAACTCGAGCCACAACAGCGCGGGTTTCTCATGGCACCGGTGGATTTCCACTGGCTCTTTGCCAAGCTGAGCCAGCACCAAACTGTGAAACTCTGGCCTCGCCAAGAATCCCAAGAGTGCACGTGCCATCGCTGGACGCAAGACGCATACCCGTGATGTAGCAGATGCAATTTTGCTATCCTGTAATGTCGCGACATTTCAGCAGTGATCATCAGGTAGGATGCGGCAAATGTTCTTTTATGGCCAGGTGCACGAGCCTTTATTGCAGAACACTTCATTCGTCATTTGATTTGCTTCTCTAAAAGGCAGGAAACATGCTGCAACAATCAGTTTGAAATCACACAAAGGAGCTCTTTAAATCTCACTGGCTCCAATTTCGTGCAAAAAACAGATTATATATTGCATGGAAATGAATGTTAAGGCCACCACTAGGTTGCATTAGTTTGCAATTGACTGTTGATTGGACAGGGACGATAGAGCACAGACAGCCGCTGGAGTGGAAATGTGCTGTGTGGGGTTACAAACAGTTCTGAGGATGACATGAAAGTGTTTTGTTGTTAAGGGAAACCATAATGGGGCAAATAAACAGCGGTATGTTGGTGCTGTTTTAAATTCTAGCTGTCCAACTTTGTTTTTCGCGACGCAGTCCTGGCATTAGCGAGAATGTGTACTTGGATCATACACGTCCTAAGAAATGTGCACGTGTGGGAAAAAAATGCATGGTTGTGTGAACAGGACTCAATTGTAACAAAGTCTGATTATATTTTTACAGATTAATTAAAGATGACAACTTTTTTTTTAATCACGTGATTTCATATTTTGTGAAAACGATCGTAACAGATAATAAACCAAGTACATTTTACATGTACCCGATAGCTCTCCCTAAAGGCTGCAGATTACAGAAAGGACAATGTATCCACAACAAACCTTGGGTTATTAGTAATAAATCGAGTATGGAAACGTTGGGTAACTCATTACCAACAGTGATGGGAGCCAGAATTTTCAGGTAGGGGGGGGGGGCAACCCCTCCAGCAATGAAAAATGATAGGAGTTGTTAGTAAGGAAGGACTTGTCCCTTGCTTTTTATTCGACGCGTGTGCGGCGATGGCGCAGCCATCGATCGAGGGTCGAATTCGAACAGCGTTGTGTGATCGGCATCGCGCTCGCTGAAGGTGTTGATGCCTTCAGGGAAGTCGTGTCCTGTATACGCAACTGCGCACAGTTCTGTGAGTCACTTATAACTGCTCAGACTATTGTCCTATCATCTCATAACATGCTACATAGTGGCAGTGGGGGTCGCAAAATGCCGATTTATTACTAATAAACCCCAATGATCCGATCGAAATTCGGGATTTCGATCGGATCATTGGGGGAGGCACGTGCCACCCCCCCCCCCCCACTGGCTCCGCCAGTGATTACCAACAAAAGATTGAACATTCATGCCTCTATAAAAAGTCGTGCGTGCAACTGGAACATATTTTTAATAAATAAAATAGTAATGTAAACAAGTCCTCGTAGCTGCAGGTGCACGTGGTGGTTTGCATAATTCACAAAAACCATATCGTTTACACCTCCCTACTCCAGCCCCCCCTCCTCGCCACACAAAATCATTGCGCACAACAGGGAAGACTGCACCTTTGACAGGCAAGTTCACCGACACAGATCCGCAGGAGCGCTCGCGTGCGTGCGTGGGGCATCACTCAGCCTGCCGCGCGCAATTACGTTCCAAAAGCCATCCGACGGGGAGAAACAGCTGGATTTATGGCAAGCTTCCTCGGCAAAAATCCTGCGTGAATCGTATTCAAATTCTCACGCTGATTTTTTCCACTGTACGTACGAGCTGCGTCGGGGCTATGCCGAGCTAGCCTGGCGCGCCTCGTGAAGTGTGCGGTTGCTTTTCCATCACCGTAGAACGCCAGCCAAGTTGCTGACGTCACACGCAACGTCATTCGTGCAGGTGTACCCTTTCACTTGCTTTGCCCTGAGCCACATTCATATGTTTTGTGAGGCCAGAGCTTTCTCAGCTTGGTTCTGGCTACCACGATTCCAGGCGAGTCGCCCCGGCTTGCTTAAAATGACACCCTCTTCGTGTTTTCTAAATTATACGATTTCCAAATTTCTTTGAATTCACATCTATCCTTTTGTCTATTTGGATGCAGCAACCGCGTTTCTGACCTCCCACTGCAAGACAGATGGGAAACACTGAAACAAGCAGACTATGCAGACTCTCCACTCGTGCACCACAATGAATTTTTCGCAAAATGAAGGTAGGCTCGCTAAAAAAATATGTAGAAAATGTTAAACATAAAAACCACACAGCAACCATGCAGTACGCTTGATGTGCTACCATTTTTTTTGGTAGCAGCACTGACAACCGGGGAATGAGGTGTGAAAGGATAGCGACTGATGGAGAGAACATCCACATTAAGTGTGGACCCTTAACCCTCTCCCGTTCCGAAATATCTGCAAGTTGCAGGCTGAGTCACCATTCACGTCTGAACCTCGGAATGCACAAGTGGCTCAGTGAACCGGTAATTGTATTTAGAGAGGCATATCAGCCATTGTACTCACCGCAGAGAACTGTAGTGACACAACCGCACTCTATGATAGCTGGCGTCAAAACAGTGGCCTTGTGGGAGCCTCGTTACCGATAGAGTTATTCTAGTTTTTCTTCCAGTTTCGTTTTAATTACGTACACATACACGTACGTCATCAGAACGGCATCATGCTGCTTTTTCCGTACGTCGTCAGAACGGAATCGTAAGAAAAACTTATGACGCACACGTACGTACACGTACTTCATCGGAACGGGAACCGGTTAACACCAACGCAGCTCCGCTCATCAACGGAAATGACGGCAACTCGGCGGCCACACTGTACAGCCTCCCACCGCCAAAGCGTTAATTTCACTTGCATAACGTTTTGTCGTGAAGCCCTGTCTGAAATATATTCTTCGAAATGATCGTCGCGAATCCACGATGCATGCAAGTGCCTTCAGGGGCGTTTAACGCCCATCTATTGCTGCAAATGTGTTTTGCCACACCGGGTGGGTGGGGTGATTGGTTCCACCAAATGTCGCGAGAACTGGGAATCAAGAGAGCTTCCAGTGCCCCCAATGGCTCTGAAAGACCTCTGCCAGGATAATTTGTGATAATCGTATTTTATCATTCTAGTCCTTGACCCCATCCGACAGACATGACTAAACTGCAGCGCGCACTTTACATCGGGCCACTTCCTTACCTGTGTATTCTTCCAGAACCTTGTCTTCCAGCTCTGCGTAAAGAAAACAAAAATATCACCGACTTGCAATTAGTACGAGTGACTGCAATTTCTCGCAACCACTCGGCACGAACCAAGCACAATAAATTCTGCAGCGAGTCAGCGGTAATCAACAATGTTATAAACATGTATGAATATGAAATGCTCTCTAACATTCAACAGAATACCACAATTTCTTGAGGGGAAATGACAGGGTCGGGTACACATCAACCGTTAGCATTTGCACAGGGCAGAAAGCACGTCAGAAATTCAGAGCCAAATTTGGAACACCGTCTTGCAGACACGCAAAATAAAATTTTCCAAGACCATCTACACTGACCTAGACTTCTCCCCCGCCTACATCATTACAGAAACAATTTGCCATCATTAAATTAGTGGTGAGCGCACACTTCCTCGCAATTACATTCAGCTTAACCAGCAAAAATTTATATGCAGAGCTCTTCTGCAATACGGAGAGCCGGTTCAGACGCAAACATCTGTGGCGAATTTTGCACTTATCCTTGAGCGGGGCCTGTCGAAAATAAAAATTACAAATGAAGAGAAATTGTAAATGCAGTTGGATTGCTCTGGCAATGCGTAATTCGTGTGAATAAGCTTAAGAAACGTTCTGAGCAGCCAGCCTTATAAGTAGAAGGCGTTAGAGTGGAGGCAGAGCAGACAGAGTGATTCACACCATTAAACGATGGCAGGATTTATCACTTGTTCGGAAGTGTGGATGAAAGAGCTGATGCAGGCAGAAAGATTAATTGGGTGTCCAAAGAATATGCACTTATGTCTAGAAAGGGCTTACATGAGCCAGGAAGGGTTGTGCAGAATTGTAGGGCTCATAAAGTAATGTATGCAGCAAGATGATCTGCTTCTGTTTTAGTTACATTTATGCAATCGATAGTTTATGAAGTAAAATAAATGTGATTGGAATATAGAGTAATTTTATACGCACACTTCATCACCCTTATTATCATTCCAATTAGTTTATTTTGGGTTAGCTCATATAGATTTAACACATATTTGTAAGTATAACCCCACGATGAGGCATTTGTGGTAGATCGTGTTAATACTCATAATACTAATTAGCTAATCCTATTTATACGCACACTTCATCACCCTTATTATCATTCCAATTAGTTTATTTTGGGTTAGCTCATATAGATTTAACACATATTTGTAAGTATAACCCCACGATGAGGCATTTGTGGTAGATCGTGTTAATACTCATAATACTAATTAGCTAATCCTATTAACCATTTAACACTTATCGAGAATCACAATTCCATTAACAGGCAGCTTCAATAGAATGCATTACACCTTAATATGATGGAGGATAACCTATTTTTACCAACGCTAAATAGATTCACCTTATTACACTAATCTGGCTTGCCAATCACCACCAATCATTGGCCAATAAACGTAATGATTAAACTGGATCACATGCATGACTGTGCTGATAATATGGCGTTTATTTAAAGACTCAGATCAGGAAGGTTTTCCAAGCAGAGCTGAGCTTTTGTTAACACGCGATGATGCTGGATGTATCATCACAAATTCTGATTCCTTTAAAAAATTCCGGTTATGTTGATAAACTAAATGTATGTATGGTGAACTTATTGTGCACCGTACGTAGCCAACCGTGCTTTTTGGAGGTGCGGGGGAAGGAATAACAAACTATACACAAAAATCACTTCTAAAGAAATTCGTTTTCAATCTTAGATTAAAAAGTGCACAGCTCGGAAAGCCGTATCTATTGGAGGACCACATCTCTCAGCGAGCCACTTAAAGAGCCATTGCATTCGACTCCATTTGAAAAGCCCTGCCATGTAAGAATCGTTTACCCGACCAACCACCTCGCATAATTTACACTGAGCCAACTACGCAGACGTGGGGGCGAGGCAGATTTATCTCACGAAGCAACTCTCACCAAGGTGAAGTAAGTAGGACTGCTCCCCCAGTGCCACAGACACCCTCAGCTCACGGTCGCTAACGTCCACAACCACGCACTCAGGTTCCAGGTCCTGCAGACAATGAATGTTTGACATCATCATCATACTGGAATGAACCTCCTGGTTACACCAGCCCACAGGGGATTATTGTGTCCGTCCGTCGTGCAGGGAGGGGCTGGGTGGGGAGGGGAGGGTGGGGAGGGGCTGGGTGGGGAGGGTGGGGAGGGGCTGGGTGGGGAGGGGCTGGGTGGTGAGGGGCTGGGTGGGGAGGGTGGGAAGGGGCTGGGTGGGGGGTGGGAAGGGTGGGGCTGGGTGGGGAGTGGCTGGTCACCCCGTGGTGCCCTTATAAAACTCAACGTTTAACCTACTCACGCCGGCTTGTGCCCGCCCTCACAGTCGGGCATATTTGCGGAATACACCACGCCGCCGTTGACCCTGACCATTGACCGAGCAACCCAACGTTCCTACCAGCTCCCTCCGCAGGATGAACGTGTTTATTACTAAGTCACTGACCACGATCAAGCTAATGCTGGATGAAGCCCTCCCCAAGTGACCACTCTCCCTCACGGTCGTGGGATGCAACGATCAACACGAGCACGTGCGCACAAACATATTTCATTACTCCACGTCTACGGTTAAATATATTCAAATAACTCGCGTAACCAACACGGAATGGAAAGGCCCTCGCCCTGTTAAGGGCTGTATGCTTGAGTCTGTTTTAAACCTATCAGGCACAAAGAAATGCATTTATTAAAAGTCTCTAATGGTTATGACATCTGAACCATATCATGCGTGTTACAATTGCTTATTTATGATGCCAGCAAATTGTATGCGAACCACAGGCAAATGTTACATGTCGATTAATGGAATAAGTACATAAATAATTAACTAGTCACGTCGTGGGAGACAAAACAGGACAAACAAGACCAAAAATAACCAGTTGTTTTTAATTAAATGGTGACTGATTTGTAGCTCTCATCCTGTGGTGTCAAGGGCCCAGTATATGCCTTGAGAAGCAACTGTTGCTGCATATTCTTTGGCTCTTTCGGTAAAGTCACGTAGATAGGTTCAAAGAAAATAACAAAAAACTAAGACATTTCGATCGCAACACGAGCGATCGTCATCATCCTCTTCCTGATGACGATCGTTTGTGTTGCGATCGAAACGTCGTAGTTTTTTGTTATTTTTCTTTGAACCGATCTACGTGACTTTACCGAAAGACCCAAAGAATATGAATTACTGCAGTCACGAAAGCCTTAAGTGAAGATTTAACTGTTGCTGCCTTTCCAGAGTGGTGCTTAGAGTGGTTACGAATGACCAAGTTTAACAAATCTCTCAATCCACTGCTGGATGAAGGCCTCCCTATGCTGTGTTATAGTAGTCATTTGGCCATACTTCACTACTGTGGTCGGTGCGGGTTGGTAAAAGGGAGTGTGCCCAGGACCGGTACGGATACCACTCGCCAATGATCTTAGCCGTGGCTGACAATCATTCTGACGTCATCGGGTTCATACCGCAGTGCGATACCCACTGGTGCCAATGCTCCACCGAAATGAAAATATACGGTGGAAAATGGACAGCAGACCAGGATATGAATTTCATGCAATTGTGAGTTTGAGTGTTCTTTGCCAAAGAATAACTTGGTCGGACAAAAACAGAACGTATAACGGGAAAGAGAGAAAAATTGGAGAAAAAACAGGAAACACTGAAGACTTCACGTAACAAATCAGCGCAGGGCGATGTGGAAGCACGTAGAGCGGGGGGCGGCAAGCGCCCCCCCCCCACCCCCTGCTGTGGGACGTGATACCTTGTGTTTGGAGTAGACAACCAGGGAGACGCTGCACTCAGTCTGGAACCAATCGAACCTGAAGACAGGCAGAGCATCGGGCAGAGTTAAGCACCGTTCCGCCAGAGGTCGCAAACGGGTTTTGATTTCTTACCCGTACCCGGCCTCACCAGGGTCGCAAACGGGTACCCGTACCCCTACCCGGCTGTACCCGTACCCTACCCGTACCCGGCTGGGTACGGGTAGGGTACGGGTATCGGGTACCTGATTGCGACCTCTGGGATGAAGCCATGTTGCAGGCGCGGGTGGGTTGATTCTAGGAACTTGAATTGTGAGAAGAGAGACCCGTACCCGGCCGCACCAGGGTCGCAAACGGGTACCCGTACCCGGCCGGGTACGGGCCGGGTACGGGTAGCCGAGTACGGGTAGCCGGGTATCGGGTAGGGTACGGGTATCGGGTACCCGGTTGCGACCTCTGCGTTCCGCTACCCACGATTCCGCCGCACTGGTTCACGCAAACGCGAGGGGTGGGCTCACGCTGAGCGCACGAGCCAGAGTGACACGGGCAGGTCGCTACCCCCCGCGTCCGTCTCGAAAAACACCAGCCTCAACTCTCCGATGCGTTTTTGGGTTGAACGACGTCCGATGTTTCACTTCCAAGTGCCGGGTTTTTAGATTTTACAAACTGAATATTTCGGAGTAAACGAAGACGAAGAAGCTCCCAGGACGTGGGGGCGTGACGTCGGATGTCTTGCCAAACAACACGCGGCACAGCCCACAAAACACATCGGAGAACCGCACAGCGCAACCACGAATATATTTTCAGGAGTAACGCTGGGCATTATTTTAATATAAACATGAGAAAATTAAGTGTTCAAAGTTCACGCTTTTTAAAGTGTTAAGCTGCTGAATCAAAGACACGTGTCGGCTGCGGGAGATGTGAAAACTTGCCGACAGCTCCCGTCGAAGGAATGAAAGCGGTTATGTGTATGAAAGAGCTCGTTAAGAAAATATACATTTTGAGGTCAATTGCAGGAGGTAAATCACAAGATGCATTTTACTCGAGGCTATGGAAAGGACATTTTGAATTACCACAAGCTGCAATTTAATTTGTTCAAATTATTTTTTTAACTTTTGTATAAAGACGAAGCAATTAAAATGTGCCTGTGCACAGATGACCAATGACTCCACACCTCAGCGGAGTTGTGTGGAGTCCTTGTAATAACTGCAAGCAAAATGTAACATTTTAAATCCAGATTCAAAACTCATTTATTCAGAACAGTTGTTTGTTTTTAGTAAATTGTCCTTTCTCCGCACCTCCGATTAGCACGGTTGGCTACGTGCGGCACGTGAGAAGTTCAACACACATACATACTGTCATTACCGCTGTGTTGAAAGATCACTGCCAACACAGTCTCTTAAGCGTCAGTTACATTATTCTGTGTTGCACTGATGGTACGTCCTCACTTGTACAGAGATACAAACAAACATTGCTCATGGCTGACTGAGCACACGGAGGCTGTGGGGGCACTTGCCTTGTGTGAATGTTGAAGAGTGACACGAAGGCCACTAGGCCTGTAACAATTCACCAATTATAAAATACGTGTAAATGCACATGGCGCATGCATACATTCAGGCACGAGATAAAAGCCTATTGAAAATTGTCGTGTGAAAAGTTAAGATTCATGCTCATTAATCCTAAAGTATACAAAAGAGACAGTAAAAATAAGACGAACATTTTTTTTCAAGTTTTTCTCGAATTTTATGCTGATTGTATTATTGGCATCATGTACTAAGGTGAAGTATCAATTTGGATCTCTTGTACAGCAGTGCAACCCTTCATGTTTGAGAACAGCCCATGGAAGTGGAAATCACAGAGCTACGTCTAAGATACTGTCAAGTGACCCCTGTTCTACAGTTGTGTGCAGCAAAACATTAGCATGAAGCACTCTGTCACTACTCTCTGGTTCTTTCGTAGATAGAAAAAATGATAAAATAAAATACGACGTTTTCAGTCGCAACACAAGCGTCCGTCTTCAGAAAAACTTCTCTCACCTGAAAACGGACGCTTGTGTTGCGACCAAAAACGTCGTGTTTTCTTTTCTCTTATTATTTTTTCTAACTACGTGACTTTACCGAAAGAACCAGACAGTATGGATTCCTGCAGTCACGAAAGCTTCAAATCAACACTCTGTCACTGCTCATCGCATGACGTTCAAATCCATATTTTAAATCTGATATTTAGCCAAATGAAGTCCAGAAGCAAATTTAATGTAATTTGGTTTTTTTTTGTGCATTCAATGGTGAGCAAATGGAGTACCATCAACTTACTGCACTTGATGACCAAGTTTCATTACACGAGCTTTCTGGATTCCAATACGGAATCTCAGACGTGGCCAGGACAGCTCTCTGACCTCGAAGCCACTTGGCCACGGCAAGAATCGATTGCTAAATCAAACTGCAACCCCGGATCATGTCAATTCGTCACAGGCGGCCAAGTGTAAAATCATGACATGTCCCGTAGGTCGTCCCGAAAATATGGTGAGTGTTGAACACTCACCTCGGTGTGGGTGTCTGTGGGACCGCAAGGATGAGCGGGGTTAAGGCGTCACTCCCCAGTGCCTCCACGTTGTTGTCTGTGCACAAAGCAAATGGGTGGTAAACCAGAAACCGCGGCGTTTAAACCGCCGCCACCGTGACTCCTACATCACCAATTCTCGTCGTATTAACTTGTGGGTGAATGTGACGGAAGCTTGTGTTGCCTCCGAAACGTCGTGATTTTTATTTTATTTTACTTTTATTAATTTAATTTTTTACCTACGTGACTTTACCGAAAAAACCTAAGAATAAGGTGAATGTGACCTCAGTTGATTGCGTGCTTTTATTGCAATAAGTTATTACAGTTATTACATTGCCCGATTGGCAAAAGCAAAACAAATCAAATAGGTTTGGAAGTGTCACAATCACTTGCATTTGTTGGTGCATCAGTTAGTCGGGTAACTAAGGGATTTACTCAATTAGTGGATATTGTCTGCGATAATTTCATTACCATTTTAATAACATGTATACTCACAGGACCGAATGTCATAAATTGATCCACAGTTCAGGACATTGGCTTGGACCTTGATGCAATCTGCTAGTCCTTCGAGACGCGTTTTAACATTTGTGAAGCATGCTGCAATATGAGCAATAAATCGTCATGATGATAACGATGCATTGTCATTTTCCAAGTAGTTTTTTTTAACTTAATTTCTTTTTTAGATATGGAAATGATCGCAAAAGATCCTGCCCCAAAGGTTGTCTTGCGCAAATGTAATTTTCTGTCACCGCCAGACAAAGGCATATTTCTGCGTGCACCCTTAGAGGAGTGATTGATTTAACCCCGTGTTCCACGGAATGTGCGGGTAAGGAATGTAAATAACTACTCAAAATCAAACAATAACTGCAGGTTAAGTATATAAAAATTGAGCGATGATACCGCTATAAGGTAGCGCATTTGGCTCGCGCAAGCCACGCAAACGTTTCGTAAACGGAATTATAACTCAACCACCGCTGGGTTGCCATCGTTAAATATTCACGATGTCTCTTGGAGCAAGAGATATTGGCGAAGTGTTTAATTCGGTACGTCACATAAATGTCCACACTCACGATTAAAGAGACGTTTCATGTGCAGTACATTTTAATTATAGTGGAAACATAATTGGCTTACCTCCTTTCACAATGTCGCACACAATGTGATCTTTTTGCTTCTTGACATCTACGTAACGACACATAAGGCAACTTAAAATATTTTGTATCAAAATGTCCATCAGTCAGTAGAGTCGTTCATGAATGTCAAAATGTATTTTCGTACACAATGCCCTTCCCATGCACACATAAAATGACATCTATAGGACAATTTCTGCATTGCTTTCTTTACTGGTCAGAATGTCTTCTTGGTTCTTTCGGTAAAGTCACGTAGAAGGGAAATAATAAAATAATAAAAATAAAACAATAAAATATAAAACATAATAAAATACAATAAAATTTGTATTATGTTTTATTTTTATTATTTTATTATTTCCCTTCTACGTGACTTTACCGAAAGATCCAAGAAGATGAATGCCTGCAGTCACGAAAGCTTTAAATCGAAATGTAATGGTCAGAATGTATTTTCTGTTTTCCTATAATTATTGATATCCAGGTCACCCTTAAAATATGAACTAAACTGTCAAATACCTCTCAATAATGAAGATCTTATACATCACACTCTCAATCCACTGCCTCCTCAATGTTTCAGTCATGCGGATTGTTTGATTACTTCACCATCCCAGTCAGTGCAGGTTGGTGAAGCCCAGAATCAGTTCAGATCTCATTAACCGCTGATATTATCCATGATCTGGAATCAAACGAAGGCTGCCGAGTTTATAGCGCAGTTTGCTTACCACTGCGCCAACTATTCCCACAATACATTCTCATTTGATCATGAAGGTTATCATTTATATTGTGTACAACATTTCCTGTACATTATATAAAATTAACATGATAAACTGCGGTTCATTCAAAGTGCATTTAGACTGTATAAAAAAAATCTCAAGTATTTTATTTAACAAGACGATTCAGGTACACACAGAGAGTATGAAAGGACGTTGACACCGGCACAAACACATTACGGATTAAAGTGCCTGTCTAAACCGCATGTCAACCCTGGTGTTTTCCTCGACTACATTAACATTCAATTTCAGTAAGAATTAAATTAAAAGTGTTTTAAATTGGACACTTGTACATTTTCTGATGAACCAAAAACTGTGCTTGGCTCTAGCCCCCGCCACAGTGGTACCGGCACGATGTTAAGCTTGACCTTTTTTATATTCTTAGGTTTTTTCGGTAAAGTCACGTAGGTAAAAATTAAAATTAATAAAAGTAAAATAAAAATAAAATAAAAATCACGACGTTTCGGAGGCAACACAAGCCTCCGTCTTCAGGTGGAACCGTCACAGCACGATAGCTGTATCAAGCTATCAAGCTATCGTGTCGTCTTCAGGTGGAACCGTCACAGCATGACTGCTGTATCAAGCTATTGTGTTGCCTCCGAAACGTCGTGATTTTTATTTTATTTTTATTTTACGTTTATTAATTTTAATTTTAATTTTTTACCTACGTGACTTTACCGAAAAAACCTAAGAATATGAATGCTTGCAGTCACGAAAGCTTCAAATCTAGAACTTGACCTTTTTGTTCGCATATGACAAAATCACCCAGAATGCACCTGGTCTCATCAGATCTCCGAAGTCAAGCAGGTACGAATGGAGCCTGCATAGAGCTCGGATGGCTGATTACCATGCACCATGCATAACGGGTTGCTATAGAGCAATGTCATCTATGCTCCACACGTTCAGCAGCCCACACTGACTAGCACGGTGAAGTATCATCAATGGTCTCCCACGATCTGCACAGCATTGGGAGACGTCTCCTCCAGCAGTAGATTGTCAAAAGGGCTGCACATGTAAAAGTTACGTTTGGGTCACACGTGCATTGAGTATTAACATAGGTGTGCATGTGTTTGGTGAAACTGTATTGCAGAGAACAGCAAGAGAAGGCAGGCCATGAAAACCGAGAACACAATCGGAACCTTAACTAAGGAGAGCAAAAGCAAAAAACTAAACATTTCAGTGTCTCGAGTTACCCTGGGCTTTGTCTTTTGCCTAAAACCAAAGCGGCCAGTGTCGTGCGTTTGCAAACTCGTGGCTTTGTGGCGGAGCAGCGCTGCGTGTGGCCCATGTGTCGCATTACCCTTTGGGATTGGCACGGAGACAGCCATTCGCCCGACGAGACACTCCTTGAGCATTGACTCAAAATTCACCCAGCGATGAACCTAAGAGAGCCAAGTCGCGTGAAGACAAAAACAAGAAGGCCCCACCATGCAGCAACACAACAAAGACCCACCCGCCAAACCCCCTCCACCCCCCCGAGTAGCCTTTAACAGACTTGTTGGGGCAAGTGCGGTGAGTGAGCACAGAATAAGACTGACACGGTACACAAGGGGGTGGGTGGCCAGCACCATGCCCGGCTGACGTTTACATATCGCACAATGTATTCATTTCAGGCTGAGTTGACCAAGGGAAGGCTCAGAACCAGTTCAGATATTCGTTACAGATGTTCGACGTGAGTGTGAATTGAACTGGGGTCTCCGGATTTGCAGCGTACTGCACTAAACACTATACTATCACACATCACGTACACCTACACTCACACATGAACATGCCACGATCAATTATAATCCCGCGACCACTGCTGCCACAAATTACTGCTCACAGAATCATTAACTGCAAACTTCAATATTGCTTAAAATACCAGAGTTATTAAATAGCACTTTACTATCAATTGCAGTCTCAGGAATTATTAATAAGACGTCAGAGTCACTTACTGTCTTTAGAATTATTACGTGAAATGCCACAACTTTAATAGATAACATCACCAACTATTATAAAACCAAATCGCTTACAATTATGTTGTTGGGTGTTACTGGACACTGCTTTTACCATTGATAATATTTCGCATTGAAATGTCAACGTAAAATTTGACAAGAATAGATCTTACAAAAAAAACCGGGTAAAACTTACAAACTGTGAACATTGGATTGTTGGCGTGTGCCGTACACAACAGTCCAGCCTGAAATGCACGCTGAAATGTTCCGTTTCGCAAAATAAAAAACAAGAACGTCTCTCTTCACAGCTTTAAAAGGCACAGGATGTCCATGATATTCATAGATTTTTATGAACTCCATTATGCTGCCCACCACTTAGTCGCACAGCAGCATGTAACAACATGCCTTGCGTGGCAATCGCCCATCCACGCACTCTCTAGGCTCAGCTCTTCTTAGCTTCCAACATCTAATGAGATCGCACCACAATTGCATGTGATTTGGGTCATTGCAGTGTATCGGTAAGTATATGAAGTGCCATTGTGTCGCCCATAGCAATGGGCACGTGTGTACAGTCTTCCCTTGTTAGTCGCGTGGGATACATTCCATAGATGCCCGTGAATATCAAATCTTTAGAATGAATTACCTAAAATAAATACACAAGCCATTAAATACATGAAAATTATGATATTTCTCATCACTTTATGTCATCACTTTCTCGCATCACATTCTCTCTCATCACTTTATCTCTCGTCACTTTATTTCATCACTTTCGCTCTCTCTCTCTCTCTCGATGCAGTCATCTAGAGTCCCAGATGCGATTCGCGCATAGCCAAAATCGCGGACAGCAAGTTCGTGAATAACGAGGGAAAAGTGTAAATGAAGATTGTGGAGCAAGCGGCACCTGTTCAAAAAGTTCCGTGCCATCCACGCCGGCCGCCTTCATGAGCTCTTCCTCCCCTCCGGGGTGGTACTCCATGTATGCCGTCACATTGTACACCAGCCCTACAAGCAGCAGCAACAGCAGGAACGGCACGTGCTCTTTGTTATTATTATATTCATCAGCCACCATCAATGCCCTCCTGGGGCATGGCCGAGCAGTCATGTGTTTGCCGCTTGTTGCAGAGGATCCCGGTTCAAGGCTGGCGGCCGCCCTGGTTAATGCTGCAGGTGTATTCACCAAAACTACACATCGTCTGCCTCAGATTGATCAATAAAAAATAATGTCACGTGATAAAAAAAATAGTTGGCCACGTGTGCTGCCATCACGGTCTAGATTTTGCCAAATTTCAAGGTTGCTCGCAAATTACCTAATTTGGTAAAACTACGTGGCAACATCGTGGCCTACTGTGAAACCACTGAAGAATGTTTTCGTCTGCAAAACATACTGTCTTCTTGATAGTATTGCGTGATAAGAATAGCACAATTGCAATGGTACTTATGATTTGATTTCATGATACAGAAGGCCTTCCAAACCATCACCATCCATCAAACCCCTGCGGTGCAACAGTCCAATTAAAACCTGCGCACCACCATCTGATTTCATCGCACAATCTCTGCAATAGACATCTTTGACACGTTACTTCTGTTGTTATCTTCATTCCACATAGCAACGTGTCCTGCCCAAGCCCACGTACCTTTCCCAACAATCAATATGACGTCTCTAGCCTGCATACATTCTCCAATCCTGCCAAAACTCTTCAATTTAAACAGAGGTATGTGGAATAATTTTAATGCCTTTAAAATGACAAGTTACACGGAGCAGTCCCGTCACTGGCCATGAAGAAATCTCAGGCCTGGAGCACTAAAGTTCACCTGCCCGATTTCATTAGCACACTATGCTGGTGATGTGATATGATTTTGTCAGCAACACGGATGTCAAGCACGACAGTACGGGGCTTGAAGACACTGAAGCGTGGCTCAGACATCGACGGCTCACACTCGCCGGGCATGTCGTACAGCAGCGACAAATCCATCCCCTTCCCGTGAATCCCTAAAGCTTGCCATTGACACCGTGGGCAACGTCGGATTAGGCAGGAGGCCCTTCAGCAATCCGGTGAAGACCTCGCGGTCAACTTCACCTATGCCATGAGACCTCCTTTACCAGTTGCTAAATATAGTAATAGGTTTTTACCCTTTCAACTGGTACAAAAACTGACACCTTTATACAAGGCATCATGTTTGCAATAACCACAACACAAGCAGTCAAAATGCAAACAAAAAGAAACAACTCTGATGATGATAATAATATGCACTGTCCTTGAAGATTATTGGTCCACACCCGAGACAGCTTTTCTTAGAGCCTAGTCTCCATTGGTGTTGGACCAGATGACGCCAAAAGGCGTGTGGACCAATCAACTTCAAGGACAGTGCATATCATTATCATCATCAGAGTTGTTTCTTTTTGTTTGCATTTTGACTGCTTGTGTTGTGGTTATTGCAAACATGATGCCTTGTATAAAGGTGTCAGTTTTTGTCCCAGTAGAAAGGGTAAAAACCTATTACTATATTTCACCTATGCCGTCCGCAGTCTGCTGCCGTCACCGAGACTCCAGATGAGGCTATACGCAGAGGTCATCGCGGAAGAACGCAACACACCCCAGGCTGCTCCAAGAGAACGGTCTGGTAGAGGGCATAACGGGTCCATGGGACGAACATTGGTACGCACTCCTTAATGCACACTTGCAGCCACGGACTCATGTGCTCCTCTTGCTTGACACACATTTAGCAAATATTAGCCAAGGCTATGTATAAATGAGCTGTATAACACTTTCCTAATTACAATTAGGATGCCCGCGTTACAATGCAAAGTGCAGTAGCGGCACACATCTTTTATCGACTGTTTTGGAAACCAAGGTTTGGTGGACCACACAGATGTTTTTACACACCCAACCTGCTCGACTGCGAAGTGGCCAGGAGATGGCAGTACGTGAAGTGGATTCGTGAACCTGTCCATGCGGACACATGCACTTTATGCACACACAAAACACATATGTCAAATAAGGACTTGACCAAACATCTCAGTGCATGAAGGACCCTCCTGAAAACGAGTTACCGTGATGTCCCTTGGATGTCAAACAGATGCGGGCAAATACATGAAATTACATAATTCATTCATACAAATTACCATACATACACTCTAGGTGCAAAACAACCCAAACAAAAATTACACTCAATGTAAACATGCATCAATGCTTGGTGATTTGGACCATGGATGGGAGGTACAATGGCAAGGGGGCAGGTGAGGCGAATGCATGGGCATGGTTGTGGGAATGGGTTTCAGGAGCATTAGGCACCATCGTCACGGCTCAGCCTAATCCGCATGATGCGGACAAGAGATCATGCAGTCCAGATTTCCCATAGCGTCCTCATCAGGCGTGACCAATACGAGTAATCCGCATAACGTGGAACACCATGAATCGCAGATGTGGACATTGCCAGAGAGAAGCAGAAAGCCTGTACGAACAAAGGTGAATCACGTATTACCATTTCATAGTCCATGGACACTGCCGATCAGGTAGATAAAGGTGAAATCCTGAAATTGTTTGGCTCATGCAACTTCTGGCAGAAGGGCCTCCACAGAAAGAGTTCTAGAAAAACCCTATAGAGGGTGCTTTGGCCTCCTTCTGCACGATGGTCAGACATCTTTGACGAGGTGAGAGAACCCACACTCTTCTCCACCGCACGTGACCTGACGATGGGACTGTGGTCCCCTCGTTTACACTGCTGGGTGAGCAGAGGAAGAGGGATTTAACATTTTCCTCTTGTTTCAACTGCGTGGCAGAATGTCAAACCGGTGGCCTCTGGGCCATATAGTCTGGTGTGCTAACCATTCCACCATGGCAGCATAACAATATAAACATATATAAACATATTATCTTTGAGTAAACTAACAACAAGCCAGAGTCATCCACTTGCATTGCTAATTATTGCAGAAAATCAACAAACTAGGATTATGCTAATACGGTTTTCCACTTTATGGCAATAAAACAGGTGTTACAATGTTAAAACACCAAACTGAAACCTTTGCAAGGAATCATGTCTGCATTAACCACGTATATTTGTGGTGAACATGCAAACAAAAAGACATGCTCTGACAGTATGTGCATTGTCTTTGAAACTGATTGGTCCACACCAGAGACATCTTTCTTTAGAGCCTCGTCTCAAACGGCGTTAGACCAGAGTACGCCAAAAGGCAAACAGCACAAAGACAATGCCACTCTCCAGACATTGAGAGCTCGGGGTGAGCAGTTACATCATGAGACCTCCATTGCCTGGGTCTTGCAAAAGAGTGAATATTTCTGAATGTGCTGAATGTGCTGTCACCTTTACTTTAATAAAACACCACATTTACTCGATCTGATCGATGATGCTTTGACAGGCTCTTTAACTACATAGCAGGGACATTTCCACACAACACTGCTTGTTAAATGCAATTCGTGACATGATCTGAGCCTCTCTTGCAAATGAGACAGTGAAGCTCGTTCAGCCGTCACCTTTTTAAATAAAACGCTCATGGTGATCGTGACACCGGTAAAAAAAAAACTATTTTATTCAAATGTATGGGAATGACAATGAAATGATGTTCTCATGACGTCTATAGGGTGCCTATAACAATGCTCGTGACCTTACCTATGAAGTCTTTGCTTCGCACTTACCAAGCTTTAACCTTGGGCTTTAAACTTTAAACAGCTCAGAACACACAAAGCTAACAAACAACCAAGGTTTAAAGAGTGAATGATTTTGCGCCATCCATCCGTAACAGTGGGGGCATTATAACGCTCTTAAAGATGACCCAATATGAACATGGCTGTCATATAAAATCCGTGTTCGCTATTGGGAACGGGGCGTCTTGAAAAATCGGCAAAAGTGATCAAAGCGTTGCCCGAAACATGCAGACAAATCACCGCAAAAAGGACAAACTCCAAATATCCAAAAGCCTTTTACCCTCGTGGTCATCAATCGGCTCCCGTACTAATCAACACTTCAAAAGACAAAATACTTATTGGAAAGTGTTACACGATCCATGCACGGCGCATTATAGTTTTTAAACCCGTTTGGTTTGCTACTTCCTTTCGACCGAGTCCCAAAGACGCGCACGCTCGGGTAACAAACGGAGCAAAGCGGCGCGGTACGGCGCCACGAGACGCACCCCTGATGCATGTCCAGCAGTCAGTCACGGAGGTTGTGGCGTGCAAGCTCCGCCTCGGTGACGTGCAGCAGGCGGCCGCGCAGTCCCGTCATGTCGCGCCCGCTTTTGGCGAGGCGCACCCAGTCCATGAGCGAGCGGCCTGGCTTCAGCGACACCTGCGCACAAAAGCCAATGGCGACAGCACCACCGCACGTTAGGGTACCCCGCTTGAGGGACGTTGCGTCCGGGGATTGATAGCCTCTCGTGAAGGCCGTGGTCTCATTGGAGTCATTGTTGTATAACAGTGGCGAGCAGTGGCGCACAAGTTAACGCACTGCGCTGTGAACCTGTAGAGTACGCTTAGCAGCCATGGATAACACCAGCAGCGAGTCATGTCTATTCCAGTCTTGCCCTCCTCCTTCACCAACTCACATTTACCAATGTGGTGAAGTACGCTCAACAATCATGGGCGGCTGCCCAGATTCAAACGCAGGATTTCAGCGGTACCAGGTCAACACTGACCTCAGAGCCACCCAGCCACCTTTTATTGTATTACATAACGACATCACTCTAAAACATTTTAACCCATTTAAAATGTCAATATATGAATATCCTTAGAGCACTATGGCATTACCTGGCTTTGGTTGAAAATAAATTCTTATAATTCATGAGGCATCAAACTCATGCATTTTTTTCTGCAATGCATAATCTGAGATTTAAAATATGTACAATTTCCAAAAATATTTAATTTCATCCCAATTTTAGTATAAAGTCAAGATGTCTCCATCCTTAAGAGTATTGGGAGCTTTTCATACCCATCGGTAGTCTTATGCCTGGGGTTACTTCTAATTTGGACTTCCGAGTTTAGACTTTGATTACCGGTGTTTAGAGTGAAGAGGATCTCCGGATTAAGTCTGGGGTCCACGCGAAGTTCAGCGCAGGGTTAAGACTGTAGGCTAATGCTGGGTTGTGTTGGGCTGGCCTCTGGAGGGCGTCCCAGTGCTGTTATAAGGGTAGTGGGGGTTATTTTTTTTTGTACCATAGTTTACCCAGCCGGTCAGTGTGGGTGGGCTTTTGTGGTACTCTCCAAACAGTGCTATGGCATCTTAACACCTGTATTATTGCCGGAAAGCGTAAAGCCTATTATTGTTCCATCGCTATGCTAATATGTTTGTGCCTGATGGTCACACGTCCAAACACAATCCAGGCTCAACCTCAGCTTAGCTTCCGATATCTGAAGAGATTCGGCACATTACGGATGATCGCGTCATAGGCACCCGTTTTACATGACACACTGATTTAGCGCAGCTATTTAAACAATTTAATAAATAAAACATATCTCAAGATTTCTGGTGGTTTAAATCTAAGCTCCATGCGATTGACTTAAATAGGTTAATTACAATAGGGTGTACAGTATTCGTTTTCAGACAATTTAGGCAGATTTTTCTCTCCCCAATTGTCTTAATTTTAACTCAAAAGTGGCCCTGACTCTTTACCGTCTCTTGCATCAACACGTCATGGAGGGAGTGAGTTCAGAACTAGAATATTGTATTTATACTGGCGGAATCCCATGAGCTACTTTTGTTTCACAGATGTCCAGCTGGGTCTTGGGGGGGGGGGGTTCTCGGGGGGTCTGTGGGGGGGGGTTCTCGTGGGGGGTCTCAGGGGGGGTTTCTTGGGGGGGTCGAGGGGGGGGGGTCTCGAAGGGAGTCTCAGGGAGGTTCTTGGGAGGGGTTCTTGTGGGGGGTCTCGAGGGGGTCTGGGGGGGGTTTCGTGGGAGGGTCTTGGGGGGGGTTTCGTGGGGGGGTCTCTGGGGGGGAGTTCTCGGGGGGGGGTCTCGGTGGGGGGGTCTCGGTGGGGGGGGGGGGTCTCACCTTGTTCCTGGGGGTGCCCGCTAAGCCCGATCCCGACACGCGCTGCTGGGACGCGGGGGCTGGGAACACGCCCAGAAGGGGGGCGCTGCCCCCCACGGATGGAGGCAGCGGAGTCCCGGCGAGAGCAGCGGGGCTCTTGAACACGGGGAGCGACTTCTCGGCTGACATCGTGGGGCGGAGGCAGGTGGGCTGGGCGGACTTTTTCAGCGACTGTTGAGAATCAGCGGATGAGAGCAAATACCGCAACAACAACAAAAAAACCCCGATTACTGACTCAGAACGGATTCCTTACTCTTAATGCTTTTTTTTGCCACCATGATCCTGCGTTTTCGTATGTTTGGTCAATTACCTCGAAAGTAAAACTTCTTCTGTGGGAGGTATAAACATCCGTAGGTATACAGGTGGAGACAACTCAAGTCTCCCCCTACCACTACAGACGAGTTCTTGAACCCACTTGCTGTACTGCCACCTACCTGGTCACCTCGCAGCCCAGCGGATGCGGCAGCCTCACAGAATCTCTGCGTTTCAGTTTCCTTTATTAGGTATAGCCCTGTGAACCATTCCGCTCTTGAATCGGGTGCAACCGCAACAAACAAAAACATGAACAAGAAACATCCTAAAGTGACAAAAACATTCTAGATATGAAGCTTTCGTGACTGCAAGGATTCATACTCGATGGTTTTATCGGTAAAGTCACGTAGGTAAAAAATCTAATCAAATATATGAAAAATTTAGTTGTCTTCATTTTTTTAATGAAAAATTCAGTTGTTTTCATTTATTTTATTTTTTACCTACGTGACTTTTCCAGAAAAAAACAAAGAGTATGACAAAAAAATCTTCAAGTGACTACGCGCAAACATAAAAATCCAGGAAAAAAACAGCAAAGTTTTCCAGAATAAGCACCGTGCATCAACGCTGCGTGCAAAAATCCCAGTGGGATGCAAGTCAAACAATAACAGACATAAGACAATTTAGATTAAAGTTATCAGCCTAACTCTGTACTACAACAAACAAATATGACTAAACCAATACGCACGCCTCCGAAGCGATGGATAAGGCGCACAGAGCCACCCCGGATAAATTAAATACACAGAATATAAAAATGTAAAAAAAATATTAAACACTAGCAGCGTTGCTTCTATTTCGTAGGCAACAATCTCCCAGGATTCATATTCTTGGTTCTTTCGGTAAAGTCACGTAGAAGGGAAATAATAAAATAATAAAAATACAACAATTTTACTATTTCCCTTCTACGTGACTTTACCGAAAGAACCAAAAATATGAATCCCTGCAGTCACGAAAGCTTTAAATCGAAAAAGCTCCCGAGAGGGGGCGAGCGAGCCACCCCGGTGCGGCCGGGGGCGAGGCCGTCCGAGCCGGCGAACAAATCTAGCCGAGGGTGGGTAAGACCGAGAGGCCTAGGCGCGTCTATCAACGGGGTTCTCTCTTCGTGGCTCCACGTTTGTCCTCTCCCTCCTCTCTCTCCTCCTTCGCTCCGCGGGAGTCTGTCCCCATGGGCTTGACGGTCTCGTGGAACGGAGGGGGAGAGAGGGAGAGTTGTCAAACAGCGGTGAATGTGTGTGGGGTGTCGCGCAATCGTTCCTAACCAGAGGACGTAGCCGAGATATCCTTGAAACGTCTTCCAACAAGTTGATTTTCCGTCCCTCATGCGCCCATTCATCAGACAAACGTGAACGGTGGTGGTGTTGTGTTGTGTTCAACCTCACCGGAATGTTGAAATCGTGCAATAAATATATTCCAGCAGAGACGGAAGAGAGTTTCCCGTCAATGTGTAACCCTTTCGTAATGCGACGTTCAGAAACATTTTTTTCCGTCACCGCCAGAGGGCCTCCGTTCAAGTCAATGTCCATAACTTCGAGATTTGAAAATTCGTGACGACAAGGATTCATACTCTTCGGTTTTTTCGGTAAAGTCACGCAGGTAAAAATAAATAATAAAATTAATAGAAATAATAGAAATAAAATATTATTATTTCTATTATTATTAATATAAATAAAACAAAACAGTATTATTTTATTATTTTATTTCTATTATTATTTTTAATATAAATATAATAATAGAAATAAAATAATATTATTTTATTTCTATTATTATTTCTATTATTTTTATTATTAATTTTTATCTAAGTGACTTTACCGAAAAAACCTAAGAGTATAATGTCAATAACGTTGGCATCTGGCGGATGGTGGCACTCTGAGCTCATTCATTCATAGATTTTCATTCATTCATTCATATCCATGCATCCAGACGCTTCTGCGCAGCGTTAATATATCAAGCGTTTGTTTACTCTGTTTCGTCTCGTCGACGCTACCCTGTGGAATTATCGTTAAGCTCTTAGTCTGTGGATTTCATGCAGCTATTGCTGACTAAATTACTACAGGGCACAGTGTTCATTTGGTATTGGGCCGCCAGTGTCCTTGCAATGAAGAACGCGAAAGTAAAACAACCGCTATAATTTTACCTTTAGGTGGTTGAGCCACAAGATACCCGTCCTGTAATTGCGTCAGAAGCAGCGGAGTGTATCGCAGTGATGATGCCTCCATGGTCTGTTCCATGGTCTGCTCTGAGTGACCACAGACTAAAAATAATAAAATTCTTGCGAAATTAGCACTTGGTCTACATGAAGCTATACGTACTATCCAAGTGCCTATATCTATGGGGCCATTTTGGCAATATTAAAATGATGAAAATTTTAAGAATAGGTTTAACTTTTTCTGGTAATAAAACAGGTATTAAGATGGTCAAACACCAAATCGATATTTTTTGAAAGACATCTGCATTAACCACACGTACTTGTGGCAAAACATGCAAACAAACATACATGATTAATATATACATTGTCTTTGCAATGCTCATCGCATTGCATAATCGCAACGGTAAAAAAATACTCAAGAGGATGATTTAGCCAAATATTACAAGCAGACCCCATCTAAAAAATATTCATTTGTATCGGGGAGGTTTTCATACTTAAAAAACTATTATATGAGGGCCAGTCCAACCTTTTCAGGGTGTTTTAATTGCATCCATAACAACTCAACTCTGATTCCCTGATGTGTCTCTAAGCAGTCTGGCTTTCATGCCAATACTGTACATTATCAGTGTTGCCAGCGATCACTTGGCTTCAAGAAGCCATCCTGGAAGTCTTCAGCAGTCCTCTCCCAGCGCCTGCCTTGTTATTTTTTTATTAAAAATATAATACCGATATAATAAATAAGTTTACATAGCATCTTTCACATCAAGATGTTTCAAGGGTCCTTCTCAAGCTGAGAAAAGGGCATAGCAAAACCATTAGACTACAATTGTTAATACATACAATAATTATTCAGATTAAAAATTGTTTATAAAGGACTAATACTGCAATACGTGTTTAAGACTACACATTGTATTTTTAATGAGCATAACAATTCGTAAATAAATTGTTTTAAACAAATTACAGAAAAATGTTGACGGACTCTGGGACCCAACTTGGCCTGGCGATTATTTTCATGGTTTTGGGCCACAAAACACATATACCCATTTGTTCCAGAGAGTGTATTTAAACGTGAGCAACCAGCAGTCTTTTTACATATGATACAACCTGTCCGTACAATTGGCTGTCATGTTTTCCTTGACGAGTCACATCACAGCTGTTCTGTGATCCACCCACCAGATGGTAAGACAGCCACTTTCTCCATACACAAACACAAACCACACGGCACACATGGCAACCCAAAACCAGAATTCCATACTTTATTGAAACGAACAGTTTTCTACACTAATTGGTGCCGACTGTGTAGCACTGCCCTCCGTATCGAAAGCGTTTCAAGCCAATTGTCGCATACGAACACGAAATATACTCATAAATTTATGAAATGCTCCACTAATTCTTTCAACCGTTACTAAACTGCAAATTATTTAAGCACACCGTGTGATGCAATTATGGTGAAATAAAATGAACCATGTTATCTTCTCAACAGCAGATAAGAGACTATTGAGTTAAAATAAAAATTTCTGCATTATGCCCTCATCATCATCTCACCATAATGCTATATTGGAGCAAGTGTGGATTTGTTACTGTATTCTATCAGTATTTTTAAGCCCATTTGTTTCTAGCACATATTTCTGAAACATTAATATTCAATAGAATATAGCCCAAATAATTATTTATGTATTTTTAAATGTCAGTAAAAATTTGGGATTTAAAGTTTGGGAAACATTACGTCCAGTTTACGACTCTCACATTTGCGCCACACATTTCAGACGTCGTTTAAGACCCATCTTCCAACACGACTGAACACATTTGAACAGCAATGGTTCCACTGTGAAACGTAGAAGAAAGTTAGTGAGTTCATTTCTTTCAAAAGGTCAACTCACTTAAGCAGAGGAAGGAAGAAGACACGGTAATAAAAAAATAATTTTAAACATTTAGAAGCAATGCTTTGGGCCAATTTCTGTGAAAATGTCATGTTCAGTCCTGTTATAACATTTACAATGGCGAATACGTTGTTTTTAAAATGTTTCAAACATTCCTTGATGTAATTGTCTATTCCTTTCTTACTTAGAGTAGTTTAAATTGTACTAATTTTAACCGATATAGGTTCGAATGGAAGCACGAAGGCTCCCCAAGTCCTCCGCAGGACCGAGGAAGTGAAGGACCGTCCAGTTGATATAATGAAGACAGGAGTCTAGATACGACTACTAAGTGTGCTTTTCAAGTATTTGGCTGCTATAAATTTCCCACATGATAAGCCACTTCATGCTTAGAATTGCGCGGAGAAGGAGCAACGCATGGATTAGAAGGCATACGCAAGTTTATGACAATTTAAATTATTCCGAAAAGTGGCCTTGGGCAAGACAGAATAAATGATTGCAGGTCATCAATAATTATGGTGAAGTGGCAGCCAATGAATGAAACATATCCGAAAGGACATGGACTGACTGACGAGAGGGAGTAGTGAATCCATTTTGAGTGCAGGCACGAGGTACATCGTGACAGATGGCGGCGGATTGGGGAAGCCTTCATCCAGCAGTAGATCGACCATGGCTGATGATGACGACGATGAATGGGCAAGAGCCAAGACTTGAATGATCGGTTGTACCTTGATGGGGCAGTGAAAATAACTCAACGACGGAAAAACCGAAGGAATCATGCAATTTAACAGTGGAAGCTTCAGAGTTCAATGCTATAACGCCACCTGCTGAATGAGTTGTCTGTGCAGGACATTTCCCACTGAATAATCTTCTCTCGCAGAGTCCATGGAGCTCTGAAAGGTGTTGGATTCATGTGCATGGAAACCATGGTGATGACAAGAGTGAAGTGAACGTTACTGGTAGGAACCTCCTGGTTACACCAGCCCACAGGGGATTATTGTGTCCGTCCGTCGTGCATCCAAAAATGGGAGGGGTTGGGCTGGGTGGAGAGGGGAGGGTGAGGAGGGGCTGGGTGGGGAGGGTGGGGAGGGGCTGGGTGGGGAGGGGAGGGTGGGGAGGGGCTGGGTGGGGAGGGGAGGGTGGGGAGGGGCTGGGTGGGGAGGGTAGGGGCTGGGTGGGGGGTGGGACGGGTGGGGCTGGGTGGGGAGGTGCTGGTCACCCCGTGGTGCCGGCTTGTGCCCGCCCTCACAGTCGGTCATATTTGCGGAATACACCACGCCGCCGTTGACCCTGGCCATTGACCGAGCAACCCAACGTTCCTACCAGCTCCCTTCCGCAGGAATGTTAAAGGCTACCGGTGATGTAATACTGTCGAACCAATGACGCCGCGTGCAAGGACATTAGGTTCGCAAAAAATTATAGACATCCATGGACATTGTGTTAAAGTTTTTTTTTAATACGTGGGGATTGTGCCCTCTGCATAATAGTATTGCTGAGTTGATGTTTTTGCTGTGTTTTAATGAGCACAGGGTGAATAAGGCAACACAAGCCAAGATAAATGTGAGTGAGGGCTTTGAAAATCGTGGTAATTTAATTACTTTTTTTTAAACAGACATCTTTAATAGGTTTGTTTTGGTTGGCTTCATTTGAAAAAGAAAAGGAGTGATTTAAGCATACGTAAAAAAAACATTTGGCTTGCAAAACTATTTCAAAGGCATATTAGTAATATGACCAACGTTAATTCCTGTAAATGTTCACGATTTTAAGCCAGTATCCTTGTAAAATAAATAAATCTACAGTACTATTACATTTGATGTGAAATACCAGAGTTATAAGCCATCAAAGGTTAAGTCATTTGGCCATGATCCACTCTCCGTCTGATTACCACCATACATAACATTGTTATGACTGAATAGTAATTTGTATCCACTTATTAATTCCATGATGTATAAAGACCTCCCCAAGTCATGTATACATGAGGTTGTGAGTTCCTTCCCGACGCTGACGCCTGTATATTTGGAGTTTCCGTGGTCGCGTGGATTTTTCTCCGGGTCCTCCGGTTTTTCCCTCCACATTTAGAAGCATGCGTTTAGAGTTTTTGGCTGCTATACATTTCCACATGATAAGCCACATCATTAGGCTATCATTTGTGGCCATTTCGCTTCTGAAAAAGAGCTATATAGCTCAGTGGGCCTTACCTGGTCACATACAAATTGTTTTTCATAGTTTCATGTTGGACATAAGGATTGTTTGACTATACTTCACCATCTTCTTGGTTCTTTCGGCAAAGTCACGTAGAAGGGAAATAATGAAATAATTAAAATAAAACATAATAAAATACAATTCTCACGACGTTTCGGCCACAACGCAAGCAGCCGTCCTCAGGTGAAGAACAGGTCTGTCGGAAAGACTATTTTGGTCAAATGTGGATTGGTGAAGGGGATGGTCCAGGAACGGTTTCAGATATCACGAGCCACTGATGTTTGCTGTCACCGGGAATCAAACTCAGGTTGCCGGATTCATCGTACACTGTGCAAACCACTGCAGCACGACTCCATCCAAACGACTGATATATCTTGGTGAAGAAAAACAAAACTGCCTACCTGGACCCAGCCGTTGCTACCGCACAACCAGTCTACAATGTAGTTACATCAGTTGTGAGAGTGAGATTATCTGGGAGGTTGCTTCCAATACGATGGGGGGTGGAGGTGAAAATTTGTCTCGAAAATTTAAATGAGAAATGTTCACACTTCGATTACTAATGGACATAGACGTATAACACAGGTCTTCAGCTGTCTGCAAAGTGCGATGAATGCCCTCTAGATCAACACCAAAGCTGCCTTTCTCTGTGAAATTGACTGCTAAATCAATCGCCTAGATATGTCATCTGAAACTACAAATGGCAAAGTGGACTTAATTGCCTTCTCAAATGTCAGCTTCGAGCCATCACTTCGTGTCACTAAGTTTGGTGGGAGAAGAAAAAAAAATCTACTTACGTAGGTTAGGCCCAGTTTATTTATCACACCATTATTAATCTACGCTGCACTGAAGCGATAATTTAAATGAATGTTTTTTTGTGTATGGCCACCGTAATAAATGATAGCTTGTGACAATGCGAAGTTTAAACAACAAAAAATCGCGACACATTTCAGCCGTTTGTCAATTCGTTGCTGAACGAAGGCCTCCCCATGTTTGTGTTGGTCAGGGATGCTGCTGGGCCATACTTCACTCTGCTGGTCAATGCAGGTTGCTCAAGGGGGGAAAAGCTCGGAACTCGTTCAGATATCAATCGCCACTGTTGGTTGACCGCACCCGGGATTTGAATTCAGGCCACCGTGTTCACAGCGCAGTGAGCTAATCACTGCGCTAGGACCCCGTCCTATTTGTTCGTTTTAAAAGCAGCATTTGTCTGCGACGACGGTGGTAATACATTTCACATGTTGTGCCACTTGTACAACAACAAGTTGTATCGCGGCCCCCGTCATCACGTAGCGAGTTCGGCACGCCATGATTCAGCCTCCCCACCCCCCCAGCCCCTTCGGCAGAAATTTGATGAAGTCACTATTTGGCATCACGATTCGGTGTGTCACCGTTGAAGCATCCAGTCTTTTTCGTCTCTTTTATTCATAATCTCGTTTATTGTCCCTCTCAACCCTCGTTTGTCCAGTTCTTGTTTTTAGAGGCTAAATGTAATCAATCTTAAATAACCGATTCTCACGCGCACGAAACCGATACACGTATCGCGAGCACAGGAATAGATTTTAATCGATAGATCCAAGTGTCGTTGATACCCACGTGGAAAGTGAAGAAGTGGCGATTGTGAAATTGTTCAAGGCAGGGACGGTGTTAGAAGAACAGACAATGATCGATGAAAGGGATTTCGTCGCCAGCTAAACTCTCTGAGTGATTGATACCGGTGCTTTCTGCCCCCAGCCACCTCACCCACCCACCCACCCCGAGCCCTTAACCCCTGACCTCTCAGCCCAAGTCAACACCAGGCCATGACAACCCCATCTACCACGGCCACACCGAGGAATCCTGGACCTCTCTGCCAAAGTTTCATTTGTCATTTCGCATGAACACTTTTGCATGCCCTCTTGAGGCAAATACTGCCGCTGTAAAAGCAACTCCACGTCAGTGCACGCAGGGGATCCATTGCTGAGGAAATGCATGAACATGATCGACAAAAAAACCATACCACGTCATAAATGTGCTGTATTTATAAACATTAAACAACGTTTTGAAATGTTTAGGTCATAAAAAAGGATACGATTACAACTCTTGCTTTGCACACAATTGCAATACAGTACAATACACAGGCACTTCTGATCTAATCATAACTTAGCCGATGACATATTGTTTTAAGCGACCAATAGCGACTCATTGTCTAAGACCAAATCACCCACAATGTGCCTGATCTCATCAGATCTCCGAAGCTAAGCAGGTTTGAGCCTGGCCAGTGCATGGATGGATTACCACCATGCACAGCAGCTTGTTATAGGCTTCTGCAGGGCAAGTTTGTGGGCAGTGTAGAAAAACAAATCAATGTTGTACCGTACTTCTATGCTCCCTGCCTTCACCAACCTACACTGACAAGCTTGGTCAAGTTTGGTCGAAATACTTGCATGGCATGGGGAAGCCCTCGTCCCACAGTGGATTGACAGAGGGCTGCACATGTACAATGGCTCACTGTGTGGATGCTACGAGTGAGAACATGTTTCTGGGCAGAGTGAACAGCGCAGCCTTGAGGTGCAATAGCAATAGGGTTCCAGAATCATCAAACCCAGGCCGTGGAGTGAGAAGACCATTCACCCTCTTGTGTAATCAACACACACAAACAGATACAGCCCCCATGTCATTATGTAAATAATGAATTCCATATTTTTTGGGTCTTTCGGTAAAGTCACGTAGATAGGTTCAAAGAAAATAACAAAATACTCCGACGTTTCGATCGCAACACAAGCGGTCGTCATCAGGAAAAATAAATGATGACGAACGCCTGTGTTGCGATCGAAACGTCGTCGTTTTTTGTTATTTTCTTTGAACCTATCTACGTGACTTTACCGAAAGACCCAAAGAATATGAATTCATGCAGTCAAGAAAGCTTTAAGTGAAGATTTAATGAATTCCAATTTAGTTAACAGCTAGTCCAATTTACTTTCACAAATTTCAGCTCTCCATGCTATCCTGCTGCTAAGTACCCTTTCCGTAACAGATCTATTTTCAGGCGGAATTGGCAAATTGGCTGTTCGCAATTAAGTCTCTGATTATGGCTAGGCGATGCCAGTGCACGGTATGGAAATGCAACGAAACTTTGATCATGTCCGGAATTCAATGCACCGATGCTTACAAAGAAGTAGGGGAAACGGTAAACTCAAATTAATGTGTACCATGCCAAACAATGTTGATGCACTCTCAAGCGTTGATTCAATGCACAATCACACCCGGGCAAGACAACAGCAACATAATAGCGTCCCCCTCTTGATAAAAATATAACTTTGTCGTTTGTCATCACTTGCCGTAAAATGAAACATAAATGCAACAACAACGGCAGTGAGTCAGCAACCCAGGGAGAAAGGCCGGTCAACATTCAGCCAACACACTTTGGGCCAAGGAAATCTTTACCGACTGATGAAGTGCCGCCGATGGTTCATTAGCCGGAGGTTATTACGATCATCATTTCATTTAACAACCTGAACGGGCGTCGTGATATTACAGTGTATATTTTCCAATAATTATTTTGTGACATTGATGCGGCGAGGGGAAATACTTTAGTGAGCTTTGTCGGCCCAGGCAATCTGCCCACGCGGCGAGTAGAAATTGGAGTTTGCCGCGGGCTCGCTCGCATGCACTAAGTGCCCTCTCTGTGCACGGAATGCTTGGCAGTGATGAGACGTAATTGCCAGTACCGCATTGTGGAATTGCAGGCATCACTGCATGAGCTCAAGAAATTAAAGCCTAGGTCACTACACGATGATATTCTTGCAGCCAATGTTCCAAGCCATTCATGCTGCCTGTTATTTTTTTAACAAAAAATGTAATGTCTGTACATTGGAGAACTCTTAACGTTTGCACCACCATGCCGTACATGACGGGTGCACTGAGGTGGAGGTGTTTCATGCAGATGTTGAGTTCAGCGGGTCCGTTGTACACACTATCTTAAGTGACGTTAATATCTTAAGTGACAGCAGTGTGAACCTAGGGGGAATATCCTTAAAGGAATATAATGCAACTGGTTACAAAACCCTAATCTAGCTGGGGATCAGATTTAGGGGCAAGTGCTGGGGAACTCCTTCGGACAGGGCAGACAGAGACACATGTAGGGTCAAGCATGTTCTGGTACCAATGACCATTCATGTGCCTCTGCGAAATTTTGAACGAATGTATGGTAATCAAAGTCGTGTAACAATTTGTACCCTCTATCACCTCGCGATTTGATGATTTGTCACGATTCGGTGGTCGCAATTCGATAAAATTCTATAGATTTTTTACAATTGTCATGGATTTAGAGCCTCTCATGACCACAGAGTTGATTACATTAACCAATTACATACAACGTTTACGAATCGAAAATAAACGATTCTTCCACACAGAGTTCGATGTTATCCTGAGCATAAGAATCGATGTGACGCGATGAATAGATGCATCATCACATGTCTACTATTCTTGGGTTTTTTAACAACTCTGGCACCCCCCCCCCCCCTCAGCCAGTCTACATAACAAAGGCTCAGTCCTTTGTTATGTAGACTAGCCGTAGTTTCAGCCGCACTAACCTTGCCATAATAATATAAAGGGGGCCTGTCCTGGCTCCTCCCCCCTCAACCATTATATATACGGGGTCGAATCTCTTGGAATTTATCATTTACTTGATACAGCAAGCGTGCTGTAACGGTTCCACCTGAAGACGGAAGCTTGTGTTGCCTCCGAAACGTCGTGATTTTTATTTTATTTTTATTTTTATTTAACTTTTATAAATTTAAATTTTTTACCTACGTGACTTTACCGAAAAAACCCAAGAATATGAATCCTTGCAGTCACGAAAGCTTCAAATCTAGAATTCAAGTCTAGAACATGTCTACTAATCACGAGTGCATATTATTTTGACGCGACATGGGCAGTTTAATGCATGAGTTGTTGAGCCGCCTTTAGGAATACCTGCAAAAACGAAAATGTAATTACACTGCGGTTTTTTTTTCTATTCAATTTTCAGAAACACTCCCTGAGCAGCCAGGCATAAAATGTACGATATAAAACATCTATGACCTTTTCCTTTTGCATCACGTTCTAAGAGCAATATGAAGTTCGATTTGCGATGCACTTGCGGACAATGCTGCAGAATTTTGTCAAGCGAGTACTCTATAAAATAAATATATATACACGATGGAACAAAATATATAACATTTCAACGTCAAAGAGGGCTGCTTTTTGTCCCTGAATATATATATATAAATGTATTATTTCCCTCACACTGGATTTTGGCAAAAAAAATAAGAATCGAGACATTTCGGTTGTAAGTTCTCATCGGCATGTGAAAACCATTAGGCAAGTTGTTCAAATGATTTAGGGGAACAGTTGTGAGCCCTTGCCAAAAGACTCACAGGGCAAAGGTCATGGGGATTCTTAGGTGCCCTAAGTCCCAAGGCATTTTCAAGAACACCTCCTTTTTTTGTATTTTTAAAGGTGCCCAAATTAGCTGCCAAATGGCCGTGCGCACATGTAATGGTGATGCATGTTCTACATTTCTGTACGTACACCAACAATCGTGTTTATTGTTTTCTAAGGAACATTTTCAGGTCATTCTTCCCACGTCGCTGAGGCACGGGCTACCTCACCTAGCCGTGGGAAATGCTGGCCGGTATTTGCGTCGTAAATCAAGAACTGCCAACGGGATTCAGTAAGAGAATCCAAGCACGAAACCGTTTTACTTACGATGATGGGCGGCATGCGTTCACATCGCCACATTGCGTCATTGCCACCAATATAAAAATAAATCTGCAGATGGCATCAACATCGCACCAATTCCATCACTTTCTGTAAATGATGATAAACTCATCAGACAGGAAAATTTTGTGCAGGCAGGAAACAAGTAAGAGTTATAATAATGCACGCAAAAAGATAATTCCTAGAAGGCAAGATGCACGATTGTGACATCATTCCGCCCATCATGCCTTGCACGTCACGTGACTTAGCCATACCTCGCTGATAATGCACAGGAGCCGTGTATTAGACCACCAAGGGTCAAAAACAGGGCCGGTGCCGGTGTGCGGCGTTTGTGACACTTTGTGCAGTGCTAGTGGACCAACAATGATAAAACAAATTGACACACATGGCAGAGGTCGCAACCGGGTACCTGATACCTGTACCCTACCCGATACCCGGCTACCCGTACCCGGCCGGGTATGCGTACGGGTACCCGTTTGCGACCCTGGTGCGGCCGGGTACGGGTACGGGTAGACCGTGAGTCACTTGTGAGTAACTGTTTGTCACTCATTTCCCAACGTCTTGTCTCTTCTCACAATTCAAGTTCCTAGAATCAACCCACCCGCGCCTGCAACATGGCTTCATCCCAGAGGTCGCAATCGGGTACGGGTACGGCCGGGTACGGGTACGGGTACCCGTTTAGGACCCTGGTGCGGCCGGGTACGGGTAAGGAATCAAAACCCGTTTGCGACCTCTGATACATGGGGCCCACAGCAATTGTTTCTCCCGGCAAACCGCTGTACAGCCGCGCAAAGCCACTTGGCTCAAGCGATAAAACTCAATTACACGTAATCAAGCAACGGCGCGCTCGAATCGCGCAGTTGCCCTTTGGCCCCTCTAACCCGAGGTCAGGCCTAGCCGGAGTGCTAAGCCGCGTTTCCACAGCTGCGGTTTGCCCTGGGTGATTGTTTATTATTTATTTCCTTTCCGGGGTCACTTTTGTTTTCTTTGCCCCCCTTTCTTCCCATCAGTAGTAAAAATATAGGGTAATTAGAGTTGAAGCAAAAACCGTCAAGAATGAACAAACAACGGTCGTGAGTGAGCAACGAGGTCAAATGTCTGGCAAGTCCCTGGGGCATGCAGCAGTGGATTGTAAGAGAAGTACGCTAGGACGAGGATGGTCTTTCTGTGTCGAGCGCTGCTCTGATCCTGCGACGGCAGGCAGGGTGAGATGCCCAGAACCACGTGCCTTGGTTGCAAGTGTTTATTTTGCTTAATTCGTCGTTCAAGATGAATTTCTGCATTTAAAGTCAGGCGCACACGATTAACATAGAACAGCATTCGAAACCCAGCACTTTGGCTGATAACATTAATAATAAAACAGAAATATAAACTCTTTTAGTTTTTTTTTTTACAAAACCACTAAGTGTGCAAATAACGTTTCATTTACAGCACCAGGTCACACAGCGTTCGCGACAAAAGTAAAACGTGTACAATACAAAATATAAAAATAAAACTTCTTGTTTTCCACGATGATTTTATAAGTCGGGAATCTTACGATCCATGACAATGTATGAGTCGGGAATCTCAAAGACAATGCGAATTCAAGGTCGTCTTCATCGCTTCACTCGCTGCTCTGCAAGACACACAGCTGCAGATGCATCACGGTGCTGTGCGTCCATACAGCCAACCGCAAGGGCAGTCACGCAATGGCCATCCCGGACTCTCCGAAGACGCAAAAATCGCGGGACACGGCCCATCGCTCGGCACACTCGGAACACCGGCCTTCCGCCGCCGGCGCCGTTGTGTTTGCAAAGCTACGCTTCACCGCTGTTTGCCTTCGCCCGGCGAAGAAAAGGTCAAGGGGTCGGTCAATAGTAGCGGTTGAGGCTGGTGGTGGCGATGGGATTGGTCCTCCCGTTGCGCCAGATCTCGTTAAGGATGCGCTCGCGCTCCTCGATGCGGTGCGCCATCTCGATCTCCTCGGCCGACGTGAACACGTTGTGCGTGACGTCGAAGCGCCGCGCAAAGCGGTTCGACCCCGACGTCGAGCCGCCGATCCCGCCGCCGCCGCCGTCCGAATCCGAGTCGGACTCCGAGTCCGAGTCCGTGTCGCTGTCGTCGGAGGCCCCATCCGAGCGGGAGGCGCGGGCGCGCGCGCCGCCCTTAAGAGAGCGCACGTCGTGGCGGCAGTGCACGCGCACCACCAGTGCCGCCAGCGTGAGCACAAGCCCCAGGCACAGGCAGGAGACGAACACCAGCGCCGCTCGCTCCACGTGCTCTGCGGGACACGGGGAGCGAAGGGGTCAGTCGTAGATACTGCGGCTCGCTCGCGTAACAACATTGAGAGAGATATATATCAGAATAGAATTCATTAATTACACTGGTCAACACACTTTTTCTGGCACAAGGTATTTCAACGCTTTTAAGGGTGCTGATTCCAAATCTGGCATCAGTTTTTGTCTATCACAGGTTGTTGAGATATAAAATATTGCATTTTCAATAAAAACTGCAGAAGAAAAATATTAAATAAATGTGGATATCTACATAAAATGATATTATAAACACACAATCCTAAAAATACAGCACCATATTTGAACACTAAAGCAGTCACTGACTCGCGACAACTTGCAATTATAAGTGACAGAGTTAATTTCGGTTAAAATCAATGAAAATGGGGTATGCCGATAGCATAAAAATGAGATGTGATAGAGCAAATCTGAGATCAGATTTGGAATCAGCACCCTGAAATTAGTCTAAAACAGCTGCAAAAGTCCAGGCCAGAAAAAAATGTTTTTTTTTTGCTGACCAGTGTTAGCAGCACTTCGTAAATTCACTGTCGTGGGGAGTTGTTTGAACCGCTACACTGGACAGTGTAACCGTTAGCGCGCTGTGCTACGAAGCTGTCGACCCAAGTTCGATTCCTGCTCACGGCTAACACCAGTGACGATTATCTGAACCGGTTCCTGGGCCTCCCCTAGGTCGACTCGGCCTCAAGTGACTACCTGGTGCGGAGTGTAAACATTGCCAAAAGGGAGACAAAGGCGGCCGGGCATGGTCTTGGCCACCCACCCTCTCGTATGCCCTGCCGGCCTTCATAGGTGCTCGCTAACAGCACTTGCCCCAACAGTCTGTTAAGGCTATACGGGGGAGGGGGGATCTTTGTCATTTTGTCTTTGGCGAGGGGAGTCTCACTGGACAGGTAGCTGTACGTCGCAAGCGTGTTGAGGATGATGGCCGCGCCCGGGGAGATGTCGGTGGCGTTGAGACGGGTGGGCACATCCGCATCGTCGCCCTCCGAGTACTTCGGTCCGTCTGCAGGCTCCTTCTGCAGCTCCATGAGGCCAGCTGCACCCACGTGGTGAGAAAAACATTCTCTGGATTAAGTCTGGGGGGTGCAGCAGTGATCTGCGCTTGATTCCATGTCAGTCGTGAATGATCACGGGGGCGAGATGTTAACTACCTTGCCTAGTATACATGATTCATCTTCTTGGTTCTTTCGGTAAAGTCACGTAGAAGGGACAGACCTAGTCTTCACCTGAGGACGGCTGCTTGCGTCGTGGCCGAAACGTCGTGAAAATGATTTTATTATGTTTTATTTTTATTATTTTATTACTTCCCTTCTACGTGACTTTACCCTGCAATCACGAAAGCTTTAAATCGAAATTTAGTATACAGGAGGTCGTGGGTTCGATCCTGAACCCGATATCTGTATATTTGGAGTTTGGATGTTTTCCCCGTGGTCGCGTAGATATTTATCCGGGGCTTCCGGTTTTCCCCTCCACATTTGGAGACATGAGTTTAGAGTATTTGGCTGCTAAACATTTCCACGTGATAAGACACTTCCTTGAGCTATCATTTGTGGCCTGGTTGCTTCTGAAAAAGAGAAATATAGCTCTATGGGCCTTACCTGCTAAAATAAAACATAGTTGAGCTTTAAATAGTTTCGTTTATATCTGGAAACCAACCGGTTCTGGGTTTCAAACCCATACTAGGTCCTGAGTCCAGCTCACTCTTGCAAGCCTTCAGTTCTCAACTGAAGGATTTCATTGAGTACCTGGTAAAGGATCGCCACCCCTGAGGTACAAAGAACCGGGACATATCACAAGAAGAAGAATATCTCACAAGACCAGAAAAGGGGAACTACACCCGTAAACGCATTGTCTTGAGCACACGTGGCAAAAAATAATAATCTGAGAATGGTTTATATTTTTTGTCTTGGTTCTTTCGGTAAAGTCACGTAGAATGGAAATGATAAAATAATAAAAATAAAACATAAAAAAATAATTCTCACTTTCACGAAACTTTGTATAGCGTGAAAGTGAGAATTTTATTTTATTATGTTTTATTTTTATTATTTTATTATTTCCATTCTATGTGACTTTACCGAAAGAACCAAGAAGATGAATCCCTGCAGTCACGAAAGCTTTAAATCGAGGTTTATATTTTGTAAAGAGTTACAAATTTCCCAGGACAGTTACCTCAAAAAGAGGACAATCCTAGGAAAACCAGGACAGGTGGCAACCCTAACCCAGTTCAGTGTATAAACATCAGCTCTTAGCAGACAAAGAAGGCTGGCCATGATTCCGGCCACAACACCAGCCCCTCATGTGCTGTGCTGGCCTTTATAGATGCCCGCTAACAGCACTTGCCCCAACAGCCTATGCAGGCTAACCCTGGCGTCTTTGTCTTTGCCTGTGGAGTTCGTGTGGCACAGCAGGAGACACAAAGTGGTGCATCTGCCAGTCATCACAGTCAGTCAACCCACGGCACCTGTGCCTGTCCCGTGACCTCTGGTCAGCGAGCCTTCGACAACTCCACGTGGCCCTCGGAGTGCACCTGGCCTGGCACAAGCGCCGCGGTGAACGTCACTGCCGCTTAGTGACGAGTGGCGGCGGCTGTCAGTGTTGTTGTTGTAATCTTAATTTGGAGCTTTCGTGACTGCAGGGATTATTCTTTGGTTCTTTCGGTAAAGTCACGTATAAAGATAAAATAATAAATTAAATAATAGTATACTACGACGTTTCGATTGCAACACAAGCAATCATCATCAGGTATAAAAAAAATAGCAACAAAAATCTAACCAGGAAACTATAAACAGACATATAAGCAGACAGATATCACAAAGATACACAGAGAGAGAACACGTAAACCAACCGGGAGGCGAGTAGTGCGTCGCCGCGTCGCGCACTGCGTATCCGTGCGGATGCCCGCGGCCGGCGTGCCCCGGCGGTGCTGCCTGTGCCTCCCGGCTCAGGGAGGGGGCGGCTCGGGGCTCGGGCAGTGAGCGCGAGTGGCTGGAGAGGCGCACTCCGCGGGGCATGCGGTCGTCCAACACCCTGCGCGGGACTGTGGGGCACACGTTCGCGACGGTTTGCTTTGTGCGATTTCACGCCGCGCAAAGTTTCATCACCACGTGAGAACTGAAGGGACCAGGATGAGTTCCATTTTTAAAAGTGATGAGTCATACTAATAGGGGTTTCCCCCTTTTTTCTGGCAACAAAACTGACACCTTTTGCAAGGAATCATGTTTACATTAACCACAATACTTGTAGTCAAAAGCAAAAAAAAACAATACTCTGATAATTGTTTGCATTTGACTGCAAGTATTGTGGTTAATGTAAACATGATTCCTTGCAAAAGGTGTCAGTTTTGTTGCCAGAAAAAAAGGAGAAAAACCCTATTAGTATATTTTGGTACTGGCAAATGATTTCCCATGAGGATGAGTCATATTTGACATGGGTCACCAAAAAGGATGGAAACAAATTAAATCAAATAAATTACACTAAAGAAGGAAATAGAAATCAGCACAAAAACAACTGTGGCACGTGAGAAATGTAAAATATATCTTTTTTTAAACTCAACCCGAACGGTGTAGCAGTGGACTGACCAAGACTGACAAAATGTTATTTATTTATAGTTTAGTCGTGTCATTATTATCACGATAACAAATATCCCATGATGTGAATAAATATTATTTTGTTAGAAATATATGCATGTGTACATTCAGTCTGCAAGTTCAGTGCTGACGGTTGCTCTCCGAGAAGATGTCTATCATATAAGCTACTTAGAAGAGTGGTAAGCAGTGAGTCATTTGCCTTTAATATTTGAATGCAAATCTATTTATTCTCTCGATTCTATTTGCTGGTACTGAACGCAGGCATCACTCAGTGACATGTTAAGGCAAATCATTTTCACACATGCCAATTTTACTCAAGCTCAAACGCTTATTGTGGAATTGGCCAAACGTCCCAAAGAAGAATCCCTCTGCAAATAAAAACCATACCACGCGGTTATTTTACCAGGATAAATGAGCACTGTTAAACAACCAGCAGTTTACATGTTCCCCCTGTGGTCGCGTTGATTTTTTTCTGGGTGCTCCAGTTTTTCCCTCCACATTTAGAATCCACTTGCGTATCGAGTAGTTGGCTGCTATAGATTTCCATATGATGATAAGCCACTTCGTTGCGCTATTATCTGTGGCCAGGTTGCTTCCGAAAAAAAACGCAGTGGGCCTTCATTGGTAAATAAAAAGTTTTAAAATTTTTTTTTGAAACTCCCAAACCCACAAGGTTGTGAGAGAGCCAGGAGATAGACAGGCAACAAATGGATTTTTAAAAATGTATCTGTGTAAAGCCTTGAATTATCTCCTCGTATGCGTGGGTATTCTCTAAGTACTCTGGTTTCCTTCCATATGCCAAACACTCACTCAACAAAATTGGTCAAACGTCCCATTGCAGGTTCCTCCTAAAATAGTTTTGACCCTGTTTGGCTTTTCTGAATAAAAACCCATAGCTTAAGCAAATTTACCAACTGGACTCATTTTACATTTGTTATTTTTGTACAGCGTCTTGAGATTTCAAATCTAAAGAAATCTGCTGTAGCACATTACTTTATGCAAAAAAAAAATGCAAGTCAAATTTCAAATTACATGGCGGCATTAAGTACGACTACACATTCAAGGCGTTTGGAGCTGAACCAGCAGTTAAATGCTCTAAAATGCACCCTGTCAATCAATTCTAACGGGAACGCTAAATCGTGTTAGAATACATACATACATAAAAACGCTGTAAGCCTTCAAACCGAGGCATGGGCGGTCCCTGCCCCACGCCCCGCATGCGTAAATTAATCGAGTTACTTGTCCAAACCTGTGAGCACTCTGCTAATGGGCAGCTAATTACATAACCGCAAGTCCATTTACTCCGTTAGCTTTATTTCCCCCTCGCGAGAAGAGAGCCAGGGGTGGGGTGGGGGGTAGAACAGACATGGACCGCTACTGCACGGGCTAACCCCCGCGCCCCCCGCAGTGCCCGGTGGGATTGTCCAGAGCCCCGTGCAGTCCCCGATGCCACGTGTGCGGCAGAGTCGTCAGCAAACAGGGCACTTGTAAAAAAAAAGTGGCGCTGTGAACACAGAGTCCTGGCAACAACGGCGAACGGCGCTCATCAAAGGCTCGCGAGAGGGCCCTAATGGTATTACCACCTCCCCCCCCACTCCCCGAGTGCTGGTAAGCTTTATTTATTTATTTAGGGCAAAGTGCCGTTAAAAAGTCATTCCCAGCCTTGGTGGCATATGTGGATGCCTTGCTGAATTGTGTCGCAATGTATGGATGTGTGTCGAACGTCTTTCGCACCGTACATAGCCAACCGTGCTTATCGGGGGTGTGGGGGAAGGACAACAACCTAAACGTAAAAAGCAGTTCTTAAGAAATTAGTTTTCCAATCGAGTTTTTAAATGGCTTCTGGGTTGGTGTTATTTTTGTAAGCACCTCAACTCTTTTATTTCTACGGGACTTCAAAATGTTTATTGTCGGGACACACAGAACTCCGTATAAACTGAGCCTTTCTCTTTAAATACGTTACATTTCTGAAACATATCCCTCTATAAAGGAATGACCCGCTGATGAAATGACCTTCATGTCACACTGAGCTGCTGTGTAAGCATATTTAGAAACCATAAAAGTGCAAATTGCATTATTGTTACAGATATTTTGGATTACATAGTTCTGTGTCATCTGCTGCAACTCTGATATGGTGGAACAGAACTGTATGGCAATGAATAATGTGATACAATAATTCGTGATAAATCTTGGTTTTCTAATTGACGATCTGATTGATTGTCCTGTCCCACAAGTAACTCAGGGCTTCCAATATCCCAGCCGTCATGCCCCATCGTTTCCAGGTTCCTCATCTCCAATGTGGATTAAGTCATTCGGCATTATTAGTAAAACAATCTGGGATGAAAGTGGAATTTGTTTGCTGTTTTATTGTAATTTTTTTACACACCCAGGTATCCCTTGGTAAAATGACTTCCAAGGCACAATTCACGTTGCTATTTTGGCCACAATTCTGGCATATTTTGGTGGAACGATGGCTGCTTTTGCGTAACATCAATCAGCATTATTCCACCATTATCAATTCAGCATGCTTTTAACAGCTAATTCCACCACCTTCTATTTGACAATTGTTAAAGGCCCAAAGTGGACAGGGTTAGAGCAGGGTCAGGGCAGAGCTTGATTTAGCAAAGTTTCCGACAAAGATGCAAAGTTTGCATCTATCTATACACCCTTTTAATAAATGTCTCGACCAATATCTCTATTGATCCATATACATCTGTCCTCCAGTTCATGTATGCGGCTAACCAATCATGCATTCTATTCCTCTATCTAACATCCGTTTATCAATCGATCTATCAAGCCGGTCTATTCCATCTATCTAGCAACTTCTCTCCCTACCTCTCTATAGGTGAGACCGTGGTGGTGGTGGTAGGAAAGTGGAGGGGCCTTGCTCACCGCAGGTGTAGAGCACAGCCAGGTATTTGCGCACGCCGGGTGGACAGGGGTTGCCCAGGGCCCCCGATCGCGTCTCCACGCTGCAGCTCGTCAGACCCTGGCACCTCCGCACCAACACAGCCAGCGCCTCCGGAGACTGGCACTCTGCAAAGACAAAGATCCCCCCCCATATAGCCTGACACGACTGTTGGGGCAAGTGCTGTTAGCGAGCATCTATGAAGGCCGGCATTGGTACACGAAGGGGTGGGTAGCTAACATCACGCCCGGCCGCCTTTGTCTCCCCAGCAGGGTCGGGCACGCTCGCCAAACTCACGGCTGTCGGAGGCGCGCGCCTGCGGCGACGGACACTCGAGGCCGCCGTCCTTGGATCGCCCGAACGTGGCGGCTTGCACCGCCACCACCCGCGAATTCTTGCAGCGCAGCTGCAGCCAGTCCTCCTCGCAGGCGACCTTGCGCTGGTACTCGTCTGTGGGCAGAAGGGGTCCACGAGAGACTGAGACGCCCCGGCGTGAAGGCACGCTGCCACGGACACGCGCACCCTGCTTGACGTGCGGGGTGATGGGAGGGGAAGGGTACGTCCACGGCTACAGCGTGGCATGACGAAGGTCAACACTGCCATCGATGTCAGGGTGAGGGCGGGGAAAAAGTGAAGGTAGAAGGTGTAGCCCTTGGAATTGCTTACTGGACATCTATGACAAAGAGCTTTATAGCTCATCGGATTCCTCCAGTGTAAATAAATTCTGATTCTGAACTGCTTGCTCAGACCACTCCTGGCAAAGAGCCTCCACTAATAGGCCTTCACTCCAGAGGGAGCTTCCTCTGGAGGGTACTTTGGCCTACTCTTCCACGTTGATGAGATGTGTTGAAATAAGTGGAAGTACCCCACACTCTACCCCACCACGTGCCGTACCCGTTCGTACTGACGCTAGGTGGACAGAGGCGGGCGAATTTAAGAAAATGGCACCATTGTTTCAATTGCCATGCCGGGAGATCGAATCGACCTGGTGACCTCCGAATTGGAAGTCCGGCGTGCGAATCCATCACATCGTGACGCCATCCCAGAGTAAGTTTTATAATAGTTATATATTAGTTTAAAAACCTTAAATTTTCGACCCGGGTGCAGGGTTAGCATCCGTGTTAGGGTTGCTGTAAAGGTAGCAGAGGGTTTCAGTCGTGGATCTGCGTCTGTGCGAATGCTCTCTGCGCTCGGCCTGGGGGTGAGGGACTCACTCGGCCGGCAGCGGTAGGACACGGAGTGCCGCGCCACCGACGACGGGCAGCCATGGGGCCCAGAGGGGCGGCCGTGGGGGCCGAGGGGGCGGCCAGGGAGGTGAAGTTCACAGCGCCGCTTGTCCTGGCACTGCTGCAGAGCGCGCTGCGATGTGACGGCACGTCACGGCACAGCACATAACGGTACATCAGAATACATAACGCACGAGGGGACGGCGTGTGATACGTAACGCAGTGATGCCACGTGTTACAATGTGCAAGATAAGGTCAGTACATCGTGTAGCAATGATTCACGTAGTCAAATGTTTTGCAATGACGCGTCGCATACCGCACATCGTGCACGGATGTTTAATAAATATGTGCAATGTTTCTGTACAGCGGCATAAGATTGAATTTAGGTGCTATGTAAATACCAATTTTTTTGTGTCTTCGAGCACATGGCGGTGCATCGTGTAACGCCAGAGCTCCACCATTGATTTTATAGGTCGTTTTAATCATAATAATAATTTCAACTTGTAACGTGCCGCAAAAGTATTCGCTCACGATGACACGATATTATTTTTGTTTTCAGTTGGGACCTGCATCGGAATATTTGAGCAATTAACCTTCAATGAGTGTGTTTGCTTCATACGGACAGACACTTGGAGTGCCCATGATTACAATTGCGGGCTCAGACAGAGGCTGGGAAGGGGGCGATTAACGGAACTTGCACCATCGTCTCAACTGCTGCGCTGAGAGAGAGTGACAATCAAACCAGTCACCTCTCGATTGCAAGCCCAGCACGCTGACCATTACACCGCGGCAGTATTCTAAGTTAAAAACTTTCGTGCCTGCAGGAATTCATATTCTTTGGTTCTTTGGGTAAAGTCATATAAATAGAAAATTAAAGAAAAATAATATGAATCAAATAAAAATATAAATAAATACATTTAATCACCACGTTTCGATCGCAACACAAGCGGTCGTCATCCCACCTGATGACGGGCGCTTGTGTTGCGCGCGAAACGTCGTGATTTTTTTTTTATTTTTACTTTTTTTACCTATGTGACTTTACCGAAAGAACCAAAGAGTATCCACCGGATTACTTATTTATTTACTATTATTTTATTTATTTTATTTTCTATCTACGTGACTTCACAGAAAGAACCAGAGAATAAGTATTCTAAGTTACACACAGACACCACCCCCCCCATAACATTCATGATTACTGTTCAAATACGGTCGGAACTGCACGCTCAAGGTCTGGCCCTCGTCGTGAGGGATTAGAGCCAAACTCCTGTACATGCTGAGCCACGGTTCTTTCACGTTTTTGCCGGCCTCGTTTAATTCCACTTTATTAAAGCCTCGCTTGTTCTAATGAAACAACTCTTCACCAGATTCCGCCTCAAGTCCTGGCAACTGTCAATTTGCCAGACATATTTCCAAAACAAATACCCTGTACCACACGGAGAGAGATTCATTTTTAATTATTTTACCAATATTTTTTCCTCCACCCTCCGCCACAACAACCTCCTCTTTCCATTTCTCCGTGGTTTACGTTTTTTTCCCCGGTTGACTCAAACGTCTGAAAGCCAAACAAAGAGACTCTCTGAGGTTCCCTGCGCTAACGCAATGGACCTGTCTGCTCGGATGGGTCTTTAGCGGTCCCCCTCCTCCCTCCCCGCTCGCTCGCTCGCTCACTCAACCCTCACCCCCCCCTCTCTCCTAGCGTTTGGGTGGGGAGGAGCTGGGTGGGGAGGGTGGGGCTGGGTGGGGGGTGGGAGGGGTGGGGCTGGGTGGGGAGGGGCTGGTCACCCCGTGGTGCCCTTATAAAACTCAACGTTTAACCTACTCACGCCGGCTTGTGCCCGCCCTCACAGTCTGGCATATTTGCGGAATACACCACGCCGCCGTTGACCCTGGCCATTGACCGAGCAACCCAACGTTCCTACCAGCTCCCTCCGCAGGAATGTGTTACGGTCGCGCTCATTGCACACACAGTGCTCGCCACCAATAATCCGCAATACCTTGTTCATCTCGTCAAGGAGCATCAACCATCACGCGAAATCCGGTCATCCTCGTAGCAGCGGCTTTTGGCTAGCCATCGAACAAAGACAGTCACTGCATCGCGCTTCTGCGGAAGTCTGGAACGGTCTTCCTTCCGATATTAGGAAGCCACTGAAGCATTGCACTTCTACATCGAGTTTGAAAACTAATTTATTTTTAACTGCTTTTTGCGTTTAGTTTGTTGTCCTTCCCCCGCACATCCAATTAGCATGGTTGGCTCCGTATGGTGTGAAAGAAGTTCAACATACACACAGTACATACGGCACGACCGGTAAGAGCCTCTCTCGGTTGAATTCGGCACATTTTATGCTTTTGGCCAGCATTCTAAAGCGGTGCTCGACTTCAATCGCTCGTAACCAATCGGAATGTATTTATTTATTTCCTTTGTTTGATGGTCTTGGAGAACCTTTACAGGAAGCCCGCGGAGATCAGTGAAAGACATTCCCGCTGTCCTGCCCCTTGCATCTCTCTCTCTCTCTCTCACCGACTCTCTACGCAAACCCCCCTCGGTGACCGGTCGGCAAAGGCGTGCATCGCCCACGGCAGGGTCAAATGAAATCCTTACTGCACTGAGCTCTGGCTTGAAGCCCAGGTGCCTGGGGAAGGGGTTGTGGGGGGTAGGGAGGGGTCGGTGTGCGACGAGGATGATATAAACATCGCGAGGAAGCGAGCGGCAAGTGGAAAGGACGTGGTCGGCAGTGACACCGTAGGGATCCTGAGACACAGGAAGTAACATTTCACGAGTCGAAAGAAGTTACAACGGCAGAACGTGGAGGTGTGGTGTTAACTGCGCCGACAGCTGTGGTATCTGGCAGAAGGAAGGTAGCGACGGCGTGGTGTAGCGTTATTAATGGCAGTGGTCACGATGAGTTATTTTCATAGGTGGAGTTTGACTTCCATATTTGGGGTGGGGGGGGGGGTTGCATTTATTTATTAGCTTAATTGTAAACTACTGGAAATAAACGAATAAATGCGCCCAGTTTAGGGGGGGGGGGGTATTGCTCCCCCTCCGTGTCCCGTCCCCCCCGCAAACTCCGCCCACGGCTCTTTCACTTGTACTTAAGTTCCTCGCCAGCAACCTCAAGAGCTGCCTCTGAATGGGGGGCCAGCCTAGGGGGCACACAGGGGGGCACTGCTGCTCATTATGAGAGGACGCGAGTCCCCAGGCCCCCCACCCCCCTTAGTGATATTACACTTCAGTAGAGCGAAGTAAATTTAGCTGATGGAAAGCACAAGCCAACCCTTACCCCGAACCAAAACAACGTGGCCCACCGGCTCGCAGCATTAATCGAACTTGACCCCACCCCAAAGCTTCCGAACGTCCTTTTTGGCTGGAACGAGTGCTCGTCTCACAAGAGCCTGTCCAGGTGCTCCGAAGCATTTGCAAATTTGCGTATTTTTGTCCCGGTTAAAAATATTCAGGTCTAATGCGCGACTCGCGATACGGGCAACTTCCGAAAGAGCGAGGAAGCCACTCGCCACGTGGGCAGGGATAGTGGTTGAGTGGGCGTGGCTATGCAAAAGTAGGTGGGGCTAATTAGAGGGGGGGGGGGCTTGACAGCCCCTCACCACGTGTCCCGGTTGAGACTGCAAGAAAGCCGGTGGCTTCGTTGTAAATCCCACCTCTCACGCACAAGCCCACCCGGGGCTCTCGTCACCTTTCTCTCTTTTTGTTAATCGGTTTTTAACTTTTTCATGTTCACGTTGCGACGGTGCTGGGCAAGCACCTGAAGCAGGGCAGAGTCCGTGCAGTTGTGGGCACGGCCGGCGTCGCCGTGGGCAGCGGCGTGGGCAGCGGACGGCGGAGAAGGGCAGGGGGCGTGTGCCCTCGCGGCGCGCGTGGCGCCCTGCACTCGCAGCGCTGTGTGGCGTGGGCAGCTCAGCGACACCGTCTCCCCGCCACACGCAGACACCGCGAACTCTCGCAGGAGTGGCCACACGTGGTCTGCAGGTGAGGGTAATAAGCAGGGTAAGAGATACAAAAATGATCAAATATGAAACTAACCACCACGAACACGCATGATGGTTTTAATTATAAACTGCCGAGTGTCCTGGTTTGGCTGGGCTAGTCACTTGATGCAGCAAATCTGGCTGTGACGGTCCCACCTGATGACGGAGACTTGTGTTGCCTCCGAAACGTCGTGATTTTATTGTTTTATTTTTATTAATTGTTATTTCATTTTTTTACCTACGTGATTTCACCGAAAGAACTAAGAGTATGGGCTAGTCCCAGTTTTCAAAAAGCTGTGCCGTTGCCCAGAAGCATTTTCAATGTCGGGGTTCAACCCTGCTTAACTTCGAAAACTGATCGGTGCACTCTGGGTGATTTGGTGACACGGTTCTGTATTCTCAGATGATTAATATCATTATTATTTTCTGTTAGATCTTGATAGCTACTTCTAATGCGCCTAGAGGCAGGGAAACAATGACTTGCACTGCTCAAAGAAGAAAAGGCAGTGCAGCTGAAATATAAAAGCTTCGGCTCATGACTGGAAACAATGCTTTGCAGCCGAGACACTGTACAGAGTTCGGACGGAATTGAATGGAGAGGGATGATGTTGTCACGTGATTTATAAAGTAGTGAGCGGTGTTCATCTCTGCTTGCAGTCCTGAGCCAGTTGAGGAAATTCCACGTTGCCATGTATTCCTTAATAACATAAACAGTCAGATTTTTTTTTATGGTTCCGAATATATTTTGTGTGGTCTATTTTAACATAGGTCTTCCAAGAATAAGATATTTTAGTTCTTGGTGGGCTCACATCTGCTGAAGACATACAGCTTACTCATATTACTATTCAGCCTGTGCAGGCCAAATTGACCCTGACCAAGGGTAGAACTCACCGAGTGAGCCATCAAGTCAAATTCAGAATCAAGTTTGATAGCAATAATAATAGTAATAATGTCCTTCATCCAAGAAAGCTTCACTGTGTCTGAACTATTTTCCCGGAGGGTCCTACATCGGAATGTTTGACCCATTACCATGAATTTCATCTGGTCCAACACCAATGGAGACTAGGCTCTAAGGAAAGCTGTCTCGGGTGTGGACCAATCAACTTCAAGGACAGTGCATATCATTATCATCATCAGAGTTGTTTCTTTTTGTTTGCATTTTGACTGCTTGTGTTGCGGTTATTGCAAACATGATGCCTTGTATAAAGGTGTCAGTTTTGTACCAGTTTAAAGGGTAAAAACCTACTACTATGAATTTCAGTGTTTGGCATGCAGGAAGAAAGTGGAGTACCAAGAGAAAATCCAAGCGAACAAGGGGATACCGTCCAAAAGTTTTGCATGGATAGATTCAAGAACCCATTTTCTACGCTGCCATCACCTTGCCACCTCAGAGCCCAGAGGGGTTTGGGAGTTTCACAACTCTGCGAGACGGACCAACCCTTAACCCCCCCCGGTTCGCTGGATTATAAGGTGTGTGCCACCACGAGACCTGGGGAAGTATACGGTGCCATCAACTTGGTCCTCATTTGCCCACGGGATGTGCCACTGGTGAGTGTGGAGAGACTGAAGGACTGACATCAAAACGACGTCCTCTCGCGCGAAAGCTTTCACGAACGCACGACGCCGCGCATTCCACCGTCAACGTGCTGCGACCGCTGTTTCGTTCGTTTAACACGAAGGCTTTCGCGACCAGTTTCATCCATAATGCAGTTTTTTTTTTACTCAGATTATACTCAGTTTGTAAATGTTGTGGATTTACTCTCCAACACACCGGGTGTGCTGTACTAGTTACGAATTGGCACGTGCTGTTCATGTGACGAACCTTACTAATTGGCTGTGTCGGGTGGTGGCGGGTTTAACGACACGTTTATACATATGCGATCTAACCCAAAAAAGACCTGCATTACGGACATTTTGTTCGTGTTTTGTTTTTGGTGACGGCGAGAAAATATCGGGAGTTGTTATTGATCGTCGGCTGAGCGCCGTCCGCGTGCACGCGCGGAGGGGGGCGCATCGAGGCTACATTATTTTCCAATTTGCCACTTATAAACATTAAGCGCCCTCAAGAGAAGGCTGTAAATAAAGCTGCAGCAAGGCAGCAGATTGAAGAGCGTAATTATAGGCTCTTAGTCGACAGCGTGCCAACATATCCACCATCCGTCTGCTGTTGGAGCAACGATCGATGCGTGTTTTATAACGCACCCTCTGGGACGCTCTCCATCACGGCCGTCCCGTGCCAGGGCAGGGGCACTCATATCGTGACCCCCGTGACCCCATTATCCAAAAGCCATCCATTTAAATAAAGCCCCGGCGAAGTCAATTTACGGCAAACAACATTTGCGTGAAATTGGGTGCGCTTATGGCTTTTCTTTTTCTATCTCCGTGCAGAGAACGTCTTTGGCGCCGTGGGGTATATTGGGCGTGTGGAGTGGTTGGATGGGCTCACTGGGTGCCCGAAGCAGAAATTATTTTGCCCCCCCCTGCCCCACCTCACCACCATTCAATTTCTAAACTCCTGGGACAACAGAAGAGACATTAGACAAGAGATTGAGATGTAACGAGATGAGAGAAATGTGGACAAATGCAAAGAGCTCAAGAGATGTACGGATGACAGAGATGTAGAGAGATGACAGAAATGTAGAGAGATATGATGGCAGTTAGATGAGAGAGACAAGCAGACTGACAAACGAAACCAACATTATGGATGAAGAGAGAATTATGAATTATTCAATATTTTTTATAGGAATCAAATTCGAGCTGATAGATGATTTCAGGGGGGCCCCTTCGGTCGACTTGGGGCGCTGAAGCGTTTTGCTCTGTTCACTTGTGTCCAGAGTTCGCAAACTGGTTTTGATTCCTTACCCGTACCCGGCCGCACCAGGGTCGCAAATGGGTACCCGTACCCGTTCCCTACCCGTACCCTACCCGAAATGAGTGACAAACGGTTACTCACCGGTGACTCATGGCCTACCCGTACCCGGCCGCACCAGGTTCGCAAACGGGTACCCGTACCCGGCTGGGTACGGGTAGCCGGGTATCGGGTACCCGGTTGCGACCTCTGCTTGTGTCCGAGCGCCACCACCACCACGAGCGTTCGCTTGCGCCAGGGGGGGTGGGGGGGGTGCACGGCGTGTCGGAGGGGAGCAGAGATACCGGGAATGAGAAGGTGGGTAATGATGGAGAGCTCAGGAATGTCCCTTCCTGCTGAGAGGCGCTAGCCTGCCTCACTCAACATGCGTGCAGAGAGAGGAGGAGAGGGGGGGCAGGAGGCTCATGGACGCGCAAACACGGACCACACACATGCTGGCGGGTTCACACACACACATCCTAGTGGGTTCACACACACACACGCAGGTGGGTTCACACACACACGCTGGTGGGTTCACACACACACACGCTGGTGGGTACACACACACACACACACGCTGGTGGGTACACACACACACACACACGCTGGTGGGTACACACACACACACGCTGGTGGGTACACACACACACGCTGGTGGGTACACACACACACACACACGCTGGTGGGTACACACACACACGCTGGTGGGTACACACACACACACATCCTAGTGGGTTCACACACACACACACGTTGGTGGGTTCACACACACACACATCTTGGTGGGTTCACACGCGCTGGTGTGTACACACACACGCTGGCAGGTACACACACACACTGGTGGGTTCACACACACGCTGGTTGGTACACACACACACACAGGTGGGTACACACACACACACGCTGGCGGGTTCACACACACACACACTGGTGGGTACACACACACACGCTGGCAGGGTCACACACACACACACGCGCTCGTGGTTCTCACACACACACACAGGTGGGTCCACACACACACACGTTGGCGGGGTCACACACACACTGGTGGGATCACACACACGCAGGCGGGTTGTCACACACACACACGCTCGTGGCTCACACACACACGCGCGCACATCAACCAAACGACTATGAAGTGACAGCGCTGCGTATGTTTTGCGCGGCTGTGCTATGCAGCGGCTCCGATGTGTTTTTGGGTTGTGGCGCGATCTTGTTCGGCATGTCCGGTGTGAATTTTTTTTGCTCTGCGGAATCAGAATATTTGTTTGTACTGCTGGAGGAATCCGATGAGCTACAAAGCTTTTTTTTCTTTCACAGGGGCGGGTAAGAACGTTAACAACAACAAACAGTACAACAACACGAGAAGAGTGAAAAGTACAAGAAAGGTAAAATCACCCAAATATTCTAGATTTGAAGTTTTCGTGACTGTAAGGATCCATACGCTTTGGTTCTTTCGGTAAAGTCACGTAGGTGGAAAAAAATAAAAATAAATAAATAACTAAATTCAATCACGACGTTTCGGAAGCAACACAAGCTTCCGTCATCAGGTGGGACAACCACAGCAAGTAACAAGATTACAACTCAAAGACAGTGCACTATCAGAGTATTCTCTGATGGTGCGCTGTCTTTGAGTTATACGCCTTTTGGCGTCATCTGGTCCAACACAAATGGAGACTAGGCTCTAAGAAAAGCTGTCTCGGGTGTGGACCAATCAACTTCAAGGACAGTGCATATCATTATCATCATCAGAGTTGTTTCTTTTTGTTTGCATTTTGACTGCTTGTGTTGTGGTTATTGCAAACATGATGCCTTGTATAAAGGTGTCAGTTTTTGTACCAGTTGAAAGGGTAAACACCTATTACTATATTTTGCCACTGGTAAAGGAGATGTCTCATAGTGTAAACATCTCCATCCTACCAGGCAAATCCCACAAATGATAGCTCAACAAAGTGGCCCATCGTTTGGGAGGTCGCCGTTTCTGTTCGATCTCCCACGTGGCAGTCGAAGCGACGGCGCTTGCCTCTTCAAACCCCGCTCCCTAGGGCTCACCACAGCCGATCGGCAGTCACCAACGCGTGGTAGGAGGGACACTCCCAGGTTTATTACAAGACGTCTGGCCAGCGTGGAAGAGTAGGCCAAAAACA